TTTGGAGGCATTAAGAGCTTCAAAATTGGTTGTTCATGGTTGTTGGAGTATTGATGACAATGGCAATCTTGTAATTACTTGAAGATGATGAGGGTGAGAGAGTAAATATGTTATTTTCGAAAAAAAAAAATTGATGGCATTTTCGTGAATTATATGAACTTGTGGGGTGAATTGGGCAAAATAAAGTTCCAAAAAAAAAGCAGGTTAGTTTTGTGGTTGACTTCAAGTTTCAGGTCAATTCTGCAAAAAGCCCTTGTTTGTTTGGGTTACATTTCTATATATTAGCATTATACCATATTAACATAAAAGTAAACGTAAATGTAGGTAGTGAGATGAACGTAGGGCCCATAGTGTATGAGCCGCCGAGAAAGGGTCCAACATTGTGGGAAATCGGTGTACCGGACCGAACAGCTGGAGAATTCTATATACCGGATCCTTACCCTACCCTTATGAACAACCTCTATGTTAACCCACTTCAAGACAGGTTAGTGCTATATTCTAATCTTATGTACAATTATTTTATGGTAGATTAATGCTAAGTATTTGATTTTTGTTAATATTTGGTTTATGAATAAACTGAATACTGACAAACACATTCAATAAAATCACTAAAACTGTTGCAGATTTAGGCAATATGGATTATGGGATCGTTATGCAGATTTATACCCACAAAACGATCTTGTCTACACAATCGCTATAAGTGATTACAGAAGAGACTGGTTCTTTGCACATGTCACCAGGTAAATTACATAACAATATTTTTCTACATATATTAAAATCTAACTAATTAACTCTGGCTTTTAAATTAATATAGAAACGTTGGAAACAATACATACTATCCAACGACATGGCAAATCATATTCAACTTACAGAATGTGAACCGGGTCGGACTCTACATGCTCCGAATAGCTCTAGCCTCAGCCGCTGATTCCGAAATACAAGTTCGGATCAACGATCCAAAATCCGATCATATTTTCACGACCGGTTTAATCGGAAAAGACAATGCGATTGCGAGACATGGAATTCATGGGTTATACAGATTGTACAGTATCGATGTTGCTGGAAACTTACTAAGCGTTGGTGATAATACAATATATTTAACTCAATCGAGAAGTACAACACCATTTCAAGGTGTTATGTATGACTATATTCGTCTTGAAAGTCCTTTTAGAACTTGAAAAAGCAATAGGATCGACTTAAAATAGTTGACAGTAGATGGAGTTTAAATTTCTATTTTTTTTCCTTATTCCTTTTTTAGAGTTGGCTTTTATTTATATTTGACTGTAATGTAATATCAACTAGATTTTGACCCGCGCTTGAAAGCGCGGAAATTTTTTATGATTAAACATTTATATAATTGAGTTTTGTCTTAATTTAAAGAATGTTTTGGTATAAAATCAATTCACCAAAATTTGTGGTGATGGTTGTTTTTCATTAGTTTTTAGTTTCAATTTTTATTTTTAGATTTTGTTTTAGATTTTGGTTTTTGGTTTTTAGTTTTTAAGTTTGTACTTTTGATTTTCAGCTTTTGATTTGTGTTTTTAATTTTTAGACCTGTTGAGTTAGTTTGAACTGATATTACCAACAAACAAATCCTAAATAATCGAACATCTAATTTAAAACTGAAAAGACGACAAAAAAAATTGCAATAGTTTATTTTGTAAATAAACAAAAGCAAAAAAAAAAAGATAACTTGTGTTTTCATCTTTTGGTTTTTAGATTTGGTTTTTGGTTTTGCTTTACTTTTTTTTTAAATCAGTAAATTATTTAAGAAAAATAAAACAATAAATTATTTAAAAGTTACCATTGAAATTTATCAAAATAAAGTGATTGTTATTTAAAATAAAAAATACATTAACATGTTTTAAAGTACATGATTTAAATAAATGATTAATAATAGACAATTTTGTTTTGTTAAAAATATTAAATACATTTTGGGTTTTTTTGATCTATTAAGGTGGAAAGTTTATTCAATGTTTTTGGAGTTTTTCCTTAATACTAAGCCCAAAAACCAAACTATATAATTTGTTCTAAAAACAAAAGTAAGCCCAAGACTATATCTCATAAATAACCATCGGTTTAATTTAAGTAATGCGGTTTAATTAATTATATGGCTTGTGTTATATATTTGTAACATTCTAGAAAGGGTCTAAATTTAAATGACAACTTGTATCAGTAGATAAAAAGAATGACTCTATTTTAATATAGGGAAAATTCCATATAAATACCCCAACTAAATTCTATTAAGCTTTTTAATACCCAAACTTTTTCATTACCCAGTTTAAAACCTCAACTAATTATTCTGCCCACTTTAATACATCAACTTTTATAACTGTATCCATTTTAATACTCAAACTTTGTTTATTTTAATTAATAATACTAATAAATTTCCAATGAAATTTTAAAAATGTCTAAACTTCACAAAAAAATTAATTTTATTATATGTTTGAGTAATGAAATTAAATAAATTTTTTATAATCTTTAGTTTTGTAATAAGTTTTTTTAAGTTTTATATATTGAATTTAGTTTGTTTTTTTGAAATAAAAAGTAAATTATTTTTTTTTCCTTCAAAAACTTTTTTTTTAAAACATTAAATTTTCTACAGAGTTTGTTTACCTTATTTCTTAAATCTTCAAATAAACTTAGAAAATTTAAATATTTTTTCTTAGATTTTGGAGATTTTTTAAAATCTCGTTTGAAATTTATTAGTATTGTTAATTAAAATAAACAAAGTTTGAGGTATTTATATGGAATTTTTCCTTTTAATATATTAGATAGTCTGAATGTTAATAAGAATGTATTAATGTGTATTTGATTTATGCGTTTTCGTAATATATATAATATTTAAACTTAAAATTATATGTTTATTACAAAAATAAAATGAATAGATTTATGCATGTGTAAGGTGTGGTTTTGCACATCACTGCAACAAACTAATAAATCTTTTAGAAACCCGCAGGACATGTAGATATCATATGTATCTTTCTCCTCACCTACGAGTTACTCCTTTTAGACTATATATGTATGTGCATCTGCTTTTCACCAACGTCTAGGGAACTCCACTATTGCATCTATGTTTATATTCTACCTGAGCATATAACAAATCAAAATGTGATGCAGGACATTTCAAGGGTCCAATATCAAATCAATATATTATGGGTCCAATATCAAATCAATATATTATAAAAGATTATCAAACCCACAGAGAACTAGAAACTTATATATAGCACTAAGAATACACAAGATTTCTTAATCTAAGCAAACAAGAAGATATATTATTTGTAATAAATTAATATTTTAAAAATATAAACAAAAGTGATCTCAAATCCAATCAAGAAATAAATGTAAGAATAACTTTTAATCAAATAATAAGATAGAATCCATGGGATTAAGGCAATTGATCTAAAGCAATTAAGGTTAATCAAAATGTATTTTTAAGTCTAAACAACTTAACTAAGCAAGTTCTAGGTGTAGACAAATGCTCATTTGTTTTTATTAATCAAACACAAATGGTCATTGGCCTAATTAATTCAAGCAATCATTAAGATTAGGTGTAATAACTATCTAAAACTTCTTAGATACAAAAGGTCATTGGCTAAGAAGTCTTAAAGTTAAGTAAAGTTGGTTCAGTCATTTCAACATACACCTTGTGAGCAGAAAATTATTAAGGTTCAATCCTAAAGTGATCAAATCTAGAATATCATTAAACACACTCTACTAGCAAAGAAACACTTAGATCTACACTTAATCACCCTAAATCTACCTAACCCATGGATTCAAAAAGTGTCTACTCTCTAATCTCCATGAGAAACTTTAAACTCGTGATGGATTCAAGGTTAATCATGTTAATGAGAATGAGAAACAAGATATAACTAGATTTTGATCCGCGTTTTTCAAGTGCATAATTTTTTTATGATTAAAAATTTATAGAATTGGCTTTTGTCTTAATTTAAACAATGTTTTGTTATAAAATCAGTTCACCAAAATTTGTGGTGATGATTGTTTTTCATTAATTTTTAGTTTCAGCTTTTATTTTTAGATTTTGTTTTAGATTTTGGTTTTTTGTTTTTAGTTTTTAGTTTTTAGTTTTGAAGTTTCTATTTTTGTTTTTCAGCTTTTAGTTTGAGTTTTTAATTTTAGATCTGCTGAGTTATTTTGAACTGATATTACCAACAAACAAATCACAAATAGTCGAACATCAAATTTAAAAATGAAATGATGACATATTTTTTTTAAAAAAAAAATTTGCAATAGTTTATTCTGTAAATAAACAAAAATAAAAATATAACATGCATTTTCAGCTTTTGGTTTTGGATTTTAGTTTTTAGATTTGGATTTTGGTTTTGCTTTACATTTTTTTTAAATCAGTGAATTATTTAAGAAAAATAAAAAAAATTTATTTAAAAGTTACCCTTGAAATTTTTCAAAACAAAGTGATTGTTATTTAAAATAAAAATACATTAACATGTTTTATAATTCATGATTTAAATAAATGATTAATAATAGACAATTTTGTTTTGTTAAAAATATTAAATATCTTTGGGCTTGAAAATAATAATTGATTTTTTGATCCATTAAAGTGGAAAGTTTATTCAATGTTTTTGGAGTTTTACATTAATATTAAGCCCAAAAAGCAAACCATATAATTTGTCCTAAAAACAAAAGTAAGTCCAAGACTATATCCCATAAATAACCACCTTTTTAATTTAAGTATTGCGGTTCAATTAATTATATGACTTGTATTATTTGTAACACTCTAGAAAGAGTCCAATTTTAAATGACAATTTGTATTAATAGATAAAAAAGGGATTCTATTTTAGTAGAGTATAAATTAAGTACTTCCTTAAAATGATATAAAATTTCAAGCTTTTACAATGAGGAACAAGTTCTTGAGAGAAAATGAGATACATTAGGGTTTTCGAAAGCTAAAACTATTTATAAGAAGTCCAAACTCGTTCTGGTTCAATTGAATTAAACTGGGCCAAACCAGACAAAACCGGTCAACATCTTGATTTGGCTCTGTAGCGACCACTGATTCCCGCTACGGTAAGTCGCTCTTGGTCACGGCTGGGCCTGGGCGTTTTGAATATCGGGTATTTCGGATTTAGGGTAGGGAGTTAGAAGATCCATTTACTACTTGACCTATTTTCGGTTCGAATAGTTTCGGATTCGGTTCAGTGCGGATAGTAAAACTAGAACAAGATAACACCTGGATATTCGGTTCTCATTTGGTTTCGGTTCGAGTTCGGGTAGTTCGGGTATTTTATCGGTTATTTAAGATAAAATATCATATAATTAGAACAATTTAGATACAAATTTTGGATATTTTCGGATAAAATTATCCGTAGTTCGGATAGTCTATAATTATTTAGTTATCTTCAACTATTTTTGGATATTTTAATAAATTTTTAAATTAGAATCATATATTTGATTATATTATATGTATATAAAATTAATATTATTATATATTTGGGTATCCGTTCGGTTCTCGATTTAGTTTTGGTTCGGTTATTTCAGATGCATAAATATAAGAATCGCTCGGATATTTAAGGGTTTCGGTTTGGTTTTGATTATTTTGGTTCGGTTCTGATTCAGATGTTCGGTTCCGGTTCTTTTGCCCAGGCCTAGTCACGTCTTTGTCCTAGCGACATGTCTATCCTGCTACATGAAGTCGCTATCAACTCGAGCTTTAATTCCTGATTCTTCTTCTTCGTCTCAGGCTTGGCTCGTGCATCTCCGTCATGGTGCGACCAATCTGTGACTGCGCCACAACTCCTCCGCAAAGCTTCTCTGTTCTGGTTGCGAAGCCACCATGGTAGCCGTCTTAAAGCTCGGATTCGTAGTCACTTCACTCATCTCCATCGAACAGCTCAGATCCGCCGTTGTCGTCGTGCTCTCAGCTCGTGGTCTTGTGACTGTGCTCATTGTCAATCGCTGTGATTGGCCATCTCCTTCGAGCATCTCCTCCATCGCCATTGCAATGATCTAGCTCAATCTGCAATTCTCCACCATGGGATCTCTGGTCTAAGTCTTCTCTTCATTGCAATCCATCACAATCAAATCTCCAAGCTACCGTGAAGCACCGTCCTCCTCTGTCGCCAGAAAATGCAGTCTTCTCGTATCGGAAAATTCACGAAGCAACAATGGTGGGTTTTGAGATATTTGTACATCTGGCCCTTGACCATTCAGCTATTTACTCTTGACCCAAGACCCCAAAACTACTGAATTTGCAGGAACGTCCCTCAAATTAACCCCTGGACTTTCGATCGAACAAAATTTAACCCAAGCAAAAATTACGAAATTGCAGCCCTAATCCCTGATCTCTTGTGGTCTTTCATTTCTGCCCGAAACTTTGTAATTTGCAAAGATAACCTTGTAATTTCACCTCAAACTTCCAAATGTGTACTTTAAACCCTGTTATATAAATTATGCAACGCAAATGTAATAGAGTAATTGCATCCTATATACACAGAATAAAGACTATTTAGGTATGTGGTATGTGTATTGTTTATATTTCAAAAATCCCCATGATGCCCTTTCTACTCCACTTTTTCCAGATTCAAATTCTCTAAACTTTCTACTCTATAGAAAGGTTGTGAGTTGGGACCAAAATGCAAAGTTTCTCTCGTTTAAGTCTCCTTCTTCTTCTCTGCTTCACCACTTTTATCACTTTACCCTTTCCAATACGTGCAAAAAACACATCATAACACATCAAAGTTCCAAAAAACAGAGATCCACAGATTCCTTTAAGAACCGTCCAGAATCCCCAATGGTTATCCCCTTTTTATACGCGAATCCCTGCGAGAAAGAAACATAAAAATACATTATTTCTTCGATTCTCTCTATTTAAAGTTTCGATCTTTGCTCGAATCTCTCGCCATGGTTACTGAAGCTTGGCTTATGAAACTGAGAAACCAAGTAAGCACCAATCTCTCTCTCACCATTTCTGATTCTCTTCTCTTTAAATCACTTCACCAGTTTCTTTTTTCTTTCCTAGATTTTCTCGGGAAAATAATTGTTTCCTTCTCACTTGCTTTATAACCGTCTTTATTTTTCTAAATGTACCTGTTTTTTGTTAAATCATCGAAAAGGCTCCGGCAAGACGTGGTCGTTTGTTTCTATTGAACTTAAAGAGAAAATCAAAAGGTGATAACTTGCTGATAATTGAAAATTTTGTTTTTCGATCTTCTCAGTTTATGCGTCGGTGTCATCTCTGTGGAGTAACATGCATCAAGATCCAGCAGTGTTTTTTTTTCTGATCTATTTACTTGTTTGATTTTGGTGTGTTCCTGTAAGAACAAATCTGATTTAAGATTAGTTTTTTTTTAATTTAAAAATTTTCGCTTTTGTAAGTAGCATCTACATTCCCCTTGAATGACTCTTCTTTGAAATATGTTTGACATAACTCTCTTCTTGTCTGAAAATGACTTAAATCTGAGATTTTTCTGAGTATTTCGATCTTGAGAAAGATTCATTAACGATGGGTTTATTCCTTATGATGATGGTGGTGGAGAATTGATCCGGCAAATGGAACTGTGTGCCGTGGATTAAAATTTGCTGATGATGATGATCCGGAATTGATCCTTTAAAAAAAAATCCAGTTTTTCTATCCTTCACGTGTATAAAAACTGGACAAAGTCGTAACTTCACTCTGGTTCATATCTCCTACAACCTAAATAACTTTTTTTTGCATCAATACCTAATTATCTTTTCTTTGTTCGTTTTCCACCTAAATAGCTCAATGTAATATATATGCATTTTAAATGATCAAAATGAATCAAAATGGGATACTAAAAACCTATAAAAACATGAGATATCAAAATGCATATATACTTATAAAATGCTAACGTCCCATTTCTATGTTAGTCGAAGTCAGAGCCGAGAGAAGCAACAAGTAGTTGTAATACCTTTAGCTATGATGATGATGTTGATGGAATTAGCAAGCTTAAGGTACGCTTACATTACCATCAATCTAATCACGAAGGCTTGGAGATTTTTCTAAAAACTATTCTATTTATCTTGACCAAATCTTCTTGGGATCTCTCTCTTTCCCGACCGGAGCTTGTTGTTGTTAATAACTCTCTTCTGAGCCACAGGGACTTGGTTCGACGCACCAGAAACTGGTCTTGTTGGTCTCGTTAATCTGTCAACAACCTTTGGTGCATCTGATATCCTGATCCGTTTCTCCTTCACATGAGGATCATCACCACCGTTGTTCTCTGCTTCGCCGCTTCTCAAGACCCTCTTCTTGCTAGTCACCTCATTGAGATTCAATAAATCGTTTCTTTGAGTACTCGTCTTGAGACGGTTTGATGTTCTCACGATGTTCTTGGATTCAGCATTCTCATTGCCATAGTTATCTTCTCTGATGCAAGTTTTCACTTCCTTAGGAGCAGCACTCGCAACATCAGGGATTTCTCTAGTCGCTGCCATTTGATGCACATGCAGCTCCTGATCCTTTAGCCTCACTTCAAGTTCTTTAATCTGCAAAAGAAACCATAACATTTTCACACACCTAGTGATAGATAAGCTCAAAAATCCTGAATAACCTCATGTAACTAACCTTTTGTCGTAGTAGCACTGCTTCTTGGTTTTGCGCGTCTTTTTGTTTCGTCTCCAACTCTTTAATCTGAAACACCATATCGAACAAAAGCGCGAGATGCTGAGACTTTCTTTTAAACTAAAAGATGGCAAGTTTGAGATTATATGTCTTCCTAACCTTCTGTTGCCACACAAGAGCATTGCCTTCAGAATCTTTCAACTTATTCTCAAATTCCTTAACCTTTTGTTGCAACAAAAGGGAGTTGCCTTCAGATTCTTTTAACTTGTTCTCAAGATCCTTAACCTGCAGGCATCATTTAAGAAGTTTGGTAACTCTAAACTGTTTCTACTCTCAACAAAACCATCATGAGATGTATGTAACAATCAATAAACCTTCTGGTGTTGAGCTGCAGAGTCTGATTGTTGTCTCTCCCGAAGCTTACACTCAACCTCCTTAACCTTAATGGAGAAAATGGATCATTAAATGGTAATATAGAGAATCAAGCATGTCATTAAGAATACGACGAACCTTCTGCTGCAGATTGGTACAAGTCTCATCTCTGCTTTTTAGTCTTTCTACAAGCTGTGCATGTTGCTTTTCCGATTGGTTATGCAGTGACTCAAGCTGGCTTTCAAGTTCTTTGTTCTTTTCCTGGAGACTTCTCTGTGAGTGGTCTCTTCCTTTATTTTTACCTTCCAGGTTATGTACGTTCTCTTCCAGTTTCTTTATCGTTTCATCTTTAGATCGGTTTTCTTGCCTTGCTTTCTCCACCTTTAAAAGTTATACATGAAGCAATAAGAAAAAGCTGAGACAAATCCCTGAAGATAAAAAAAGGTTGCAAGAAGTCATACCATTGCTTTCATCTTCTGAATCTCGCCGGTATCAACTTGCTTCCTCGCAGGACCCAACTCAACCCCTCTAACACGAGTTGCAAAGTTTAATGAGCTTAGAGTCTCACTCACATCATGCTCGGAGGGACTGATTTGCACAAACATCAGAGTCTTTGAGTCACCTCCTGCATCATTTGAACATGCATATCAGCTAACCAAAAGGACAGTGTAACCATAGATTGATCCAGTCATGAAGATTCTTACCTAGTGAATCTTGAAGCAAGTGTGTTAGTTTTGAGTTCCTGATAGTTAATATTCGTAAAAAGGTTAAAGCAGTCTAGAGATATATAGCTCTCTAGAGAGATAGAGAAGGAGAAAGCGATTCTGCATATTACTAATACTAACCTGTATGGAATGTGGCTACTCTTTGTTGCCAAAGCATAAATCACATCTCCAAGAGCTGAAAGCGATTTGTTAATGTTCTGTGCTTCTTTAAGACGCTCACCTTGCACGTCAGTCTTTGCCAATCTCTCACTTCCTGCTAAATCTACAAGCCAAAGCTTGCTTTTTGTGCAATCGCCATTCATCAGGTTCTTGGCCTTCACCATTATAGAGAGCATACTGCGAAGAGAGCTTAATGTATTAACATAAAATGATGGAAAGCCAAACATTTAAACACCATAGTGAGAGGAGCATAAATCCAACCATACCAGTGAGAGCGGCTACTGTGTTCATTCACATTGTTGGATCCAACAGCTCTTGCATTGCTCCCAGCTTGAAGCACTTTCCACACTTCAGTTATATTTTCTACCTTTGCTTCTACTAATCCAGGAACATGATGGGATCCATCAGAGGATTGTTTTATCTCCAACCTTATGAACAAAAACATGAAGACTGAGATCAAGCTCTGCGAAAAAAATTCTATTTCAGTTGTATTTTAAGATTCAGATATAGGATAAGTAATTACTTCTTTGATGCTGGTGATGTTGCCAACAAGTCTCTTATCTGTTCGTTGTAGACCTCAAGGACACTAACCGATATATTATATGAAATTGTGTCTCTCCTTTCTTTAGCAATTTCAAATAATTGCTGCACAGTTCTGTAGTTGACCCCCCTGTTCTGTGGCGTACCTTCCATTGTAAAGGTCTTGCCTGTTCCTGTTTGCCCGTACGCAAAAATACACACATTGTAGCCGTCTAGCACTGAAACAACCATTGGAGAAGCATCTGCAAAGACATCAACTGCAAGATCGCGAATTAAATTTTGTTAGTAATCAGTGTTTTTAATACTTAATGATCTAACTTGACCATGATATATAACACTACCTTGGCCGTCTTTCGGTGTATAAACTCTGTCAAACTTAAAACCTTTCTTGGAATTATTTCCTGTAATAACACCAAGCTCTCCATCTTTTGCTCCATCAAAGTCAACAGTCGTGGCACATCTCGTTGATGTCTCCTCCTGATTCAAAGGGCGGCAACGACAAAAGACCCTGATATTGCCTGATACAAGAGATGCAGTTAGTAGATTCTTAAAGTGTGATTTCAAGAAGCTAAGACAAATCATCAGAGAAAGATAAAGTTTTCTTTACCTTTAGTCTCTTGTATTTGGTTATATAACTCCTTTCGCTTTGCCTGCTCTTCGCTGTACTTCTGCTTGAGATCCTCACACTGTGAAACTGTTTTTACGGGTTTATATTTTAGAGGTTCATGAAAGTGTCTCTTTAAAACTTATCTACAGAACAAAAAGAGTGGAAGTAAAACTCACCAAGTGCCTGAACACCATCCACCATTTTATACAGCTCAGGAATTGATCCCACACATTCGTGTGCTTCCTCGGATAGCTGAGATTGTTCACTTTTCATTATCTGCACATCAACAATTAATAAGTACCAATGTAGCAAAGAGGGTATGATACAACAATACTTGAAAAAACACTAAGCTACCTCTAGTTTCCTCTGTAGACTAGCAATTGCAGTGGTCCAATGTCTCTTGTCATTCTCATACTTGCTAGTGATACTGTTCAAACAAGCTGCTTGCGTTGTCACAGTTTCGTCTGTTACAAATAAGAATCGAATAAAAAAACAATAGAACCACCGTCAATAAAAATGTACAAATTTGGATGATAATGAAAGGAAAACCTCCCACAAGGTTCTGTATTACCTAGAGAGCGTGCTTCGTACATTTTGTTGTCAAGTTCCATCATCACTTTATTAAGTTGCTCATTGGCAGAGGCCAGTGACATCCATGCTTCGTGGCACTCATTTGACTTATGTTGGTAGCGTTCAGAAAGCTCTTCTATCTTCTTCTCGTACTTCTCATGAGCTTTTGCTCGCATAAGCCTCTTCTGCTCAAATATAAGCATAAAAGAAAGAAAACTCAGGTAATTAATCCATTACGCTTACACTTTTGTAGGAAGTAAGAGCCAGCAAGGGTATACCCGAACGGGCGACATCTCAATTTCAGTAGAACAATTCTCACACTTAATATAATCTTGTGATGTCCTTACAACTGTACAGAAGTCCAAAAGAATCATTTTAGAAATTGAAAACAAAACCAAGCTGAAGAGAAGAGCAGCATTCACCTGAAACCTGTGGTGCTTTCCTGACACAAATCCCACAAACCACAGGACTTCCATTAATCCCTTCAAACCTAACCCTTATCAATCAATCATCCATTACCACAACCCTTAAATCAACCAACACAACTGGCCTGTTTGCACCCACCACAGAGAAGATATCAAACTCAGACAAGACCTAAACACAACAAAAAAAAACACACAATCTTTTCAGCATTTAAAGCAAACCCTTATTCATATTTAATTGGTTTACTCTAACCTTATCATCTTGAACATAGACACTGAACACTCTAATCCCTTTAGGTCCATTGGTATTAACAATCTCCACGAAATGAAAATCAATAAAATACTCTCCAGGGAGGAGATTGTTTATGCGGTAACTAAAGTTGCCTACACGAGCTGAACGGTAGATGAATGGATAGTCTCCTCCTTCAACTATAGACTCATCAGTTCTCACCACGTCGCCTCCTTCGAAATAAGTGTCTCCGAGGATGTTCAATTCGGAATCTTCCAGAACCTTCGAATCGGTTCCTCCAGCGTTTATGAACATAACGGTGTCATCTACATTAACACAAAGAGCATTGGAAACCCTAAATAAATAATTGGGGGGAAAATAAACCCTAAGATGTGAGGGATCGAACCTGCGTTGTTAGGTCTTGTGAAACCAGTGCGGAGGAGTCTTGAATTGGGATCACACACCATGGAATCGTCTCCGATCCCTGAGGGTTCTGTATCCACTGGAACTGTAGCGTCGATCTGAATATTTTCCATTGAATCCGTTTCGATCTTCGAAGATTTAAAAATAAAAAGCTTGACGCAAAGAGGGAGACATAAGAGGAAGGCGTGACGGGAGAAAGGGATATTTCGTTTCCTTTTTATGCGTTTAGCGTTTAAAATTTGAATATTTTCTAAGACGACCGTTTAGCAGCCGCTTTTGATAATGGGCTTTCTTGCGATTTGTATGGGCTTTTTATTGTCTGTGTTAAACTAAAACCAAACCAAAAGAAATTCAAACTGTTATTAAAGTTTTGTAAATCCAAACTTTTGTGATTTCGAGATGAAAATTCTTTTAGTGAAACACTAGATTCTGATCCGCGCTTTGAAAGTGCGGGTAATATGCTGTTTAATTCTGAGTATCCGAATTTTCGAGTCGGGTTTAGATCGGGTCTTATCGGGTCCAGGTCTTTCGGATCCTAAAATTTTGGACCCATGTATGTACCTATAATTTTTGGATCGGGTCTTATTGGGTCCGTTGGTTTGGATATCTGGTCGGGTCGGTTCGGGTATTTAAGATCCAAAAAGGACTCGAAGGACCCAAACTGGATCCAAAAACTTGAAAAATACCCGAAAATTCTAAAAGTGCTTGAAGAACCGCAAAAATATCTGAAAGTTTATCCAAAATCAGGCCCAAAAATTCAACAAATACCCGGATTTTTACCCCAATACCCGAATTATATTTTTTGAAAATCTAAAATTTTACCTAAAACCTATTATTATACCCGAAAATCCAAATCTGAAACTTTAAAAAATACCCGAATTATCAAAAATATATCCAATCACCTAAATATACTTAATATATACAATAATTTGTGGGTGCTTCAGGTACCCGATCGGATTTCGAGTAGGACCGGACTCGAACCGAGTCCTGCGGGTCCAAACAAAAAATACCCAATAGATACTTTATCATGGACCCAAACCCGGACCTGAACATGTATTTTCGGATCGGTTCTTGTTCGGGTCTTCAGGTCTGGGTAAAATGCTCAGGCCTAATTCTGTTGACGAATTCGTAAACTTACAAATATATAATTTTTTTGTACAGATTTGAAGTCCATTTCTTTGTAAATAAATGTTAAAATTATTGGGTTTTTAATGGGTGATTTTCAGTTGGGCTTTTAAAGGACGATTTTTATTAAAAATAAAAGGAAATGAGATGTTTTGTAATTTTCTTTAAAAGAAAATCAGGGGTAAAATATAAATCATTTTGTTTTAATAGTATAGATATTCGATATTACGTAATCTCACAATTTGTTTTATTTCGATTATATTTAAATATTGTATAAAAAATGTGTAGAGCAAAAACCAAAGGGATAAAAACTTAACCTAAGAAAGTCATGGGCTAATTATATTCAGTTTTATTTTAGCTCTATCCCAAAAATAAAAGTTAGGATTAAAGATTTTGATACAGGATCAAGGATAATCATGTTTGTAAGAAATATTTATGTATATATGAAAGAATATTTCTTCCCATAATGTGGTCTTATGTTAATTCATTTGTTATTGAGATTGTTAAACCTTAAAGACATTTGATAACCAATAAAATGGTAATTAAAAGAGTTTAATTTTCTAATAATTTAACTAATGGACAATTGATTTATGTTTTAGAAGTTTTCTCACTTAAGTGACTCATGAAACATGTGTCAATGTAAGTTCAATGCATCAAAGTAGAACAAGTTCCATGTATGAATGAATGTTTATAGATGTCTAAACACTTGTCATTACTCAACTATGATGGATGATTGAGATTAAAGACTAAACTTACCAAGAGAGTAATGAAAACTTGGTGAGGAATAATAGAAACTTGATGAAGAAGTTTAGTGCATATCTCCACCTATAAATAGTGGCCTTTGGACCATCACAAAGACATATCAAAAAAATCCTTAAAGAAACATATAAAAAAATTAAAGGTTGTAGGCAAAGGGAGAGAAGATCTAACTCCAAGTTAAAGGTCAAGTGATCATCTTCCATGATCATAACCATTTAAGAAGATTTCAGCAACCATGAACCGATGTATTACGCAAATCCTTCTTATAGTTCTATTATGTGATTAGTCTATATGTTAAAGATATTAGGATTCATATAAAATCAAGTTTACATGTCGAGTTTGGTTTTAAACATCCACTTACACCCGACTGGCTTATGTCCTTTAGGTAATTGAACGACATCTCATACTTCATTTTCAGCCAAAGGTTTTAATCAAAAGAAAGGCATACTGAGACTTTTTCTCCTGTGTCCAGAAAAGACTCTCTCAGAATTATCATAGTTTTGGTAGTTCAGTATGATCTTGAGTTGCACCAAATGAATGTGAAAATTGCCTTTCTTAATGGAGACTTAAAAAAATAAGTCTATATGCGGCAACCTGAAGGCTTCATAATCGAAGGTCAGGAAGACATGGTCTGCAAACTAAAGAAATCAACTTATGGACTAAAAGAAGCTTCGAGGCAATGATATCTCAAATTTGATGAAACCATTACGAAATTCGGTTTCAAAGAGAATATTGTAGATCCATGTATATACCTCAAGATCAGTGGGAGTAAGTTCATATTTTTGGTTCTGTATGTTGCTGATATCTTATTGGCCAGCAGTGATCGTGGTCTCTTAAATGAGACTAAGAATGATCTCTCTTAAACTTTGCGATGAAAGATATGGAAGAGGCAACTTATGTGATTGGGATTGAAATTTTCCGTGATAGATCACTTGGAATTTTAGGGTTATCTCAGAAAGCATATATTAACAAAGTTTTTGAGAGATATGGCATGATATCATGTTCTTCTAATATTGTTCCTACGCAGAAAGGTGATAAGCTTGATCTTAAGCAATGTCCGCAGAATGAAATGCAACGTAAAGAAAGGGGAAAATACCCTTATGCCTCACTTGTGGGAAGTTTGATGTATGCACAAGTCTGCACAAGACCTGATATTAGCCATGCAGTGGGAATGCTAGGAAGATTTTAGAGTAACTCAGTACTTGCTCATTGGAAAGCTGCAAAGAAAGTTTTGAGATACCTAAAGGGAACAAGAAATTACATGTGAGCCAACACACCCACAGGTGGTTGAATTTTGTGACTCGGATTTTGGTGGATGTCAAGATACAAGCCATTGTACTCTTGGCTATGTGTACCTCTTCTGTAGAGGTGCCATCTCATGGAAAAACCAAAATTCAGAATTGATCTCTACATCCACTTGGAAGCTGAGTATGTAGCATGTTAAGAGACTTTTATAAATAATTAATGTAAAATGATTTTACATGAACCCTAAGATTTTTAACATCTACACTAATCACATAATAGAACTATAAGAGAGATTATCGGAATACCTCCATTCATCGTTGTGGAAATCTTCTTGAACGGTTTTGTTATGGAAGATAAGATCTTGATTTCACAAGAAGAAGATAACTTCTTGATTTCACAATAACTTTGTAGTTTCTTTCACTATATTTTTGTGTTTATCTCCTCTTTATTAAGACCTTCTTTATGTGTTGCTTTAGATTTTCTTTGACCACTATATATAGGCGGGTGTAGATCCAAAAATCTACATTAAGTATTTGATAGTGATTACGGGTTTAATCTAGGGAAGACAAAAGAAGTGGACAACGATGTCCTTAGAACACAACGATACAATTGGAAATCGGTTGACAAAAATAGACTTTATTGATAATGGATTTGATACAACGAAGTAACTAAAGTTCAAAATGAGAGAACAACAAGATCAAATGTAGAGGTTTAAAGTGAGCAAAGTGAGGTCGATGTTAATAGTAGGAAGGCTCTAGGGTTTTCGCGTGTCCTTTGCTTCTAGCTCTACGCCTTTATTTATAGTGGATTTCTTGCTGGTATCTCTCAACCATTCCCGCGATCTCTGGTTCCACGACTTCGGCGTCGTCTTGCTTTGTCGTGGGCTCGATATTGCGTATTGTTGTTTGGGCTTAAGCCTGTTACTTTATTATCCGAAATTGGGTCCAACAGTGGGGAGAGGGACCAAAACTTTCTCACCACGTCTTTGATGACTTTTTCACCAAGTGTTTGGTAACTTTATTTCGAAGCGGATTAGAAAGCGTTCAACTATGATGGATGGTTGAGATTAACGACTAAAGTCGCCAAGAAAGTAATAAAAACTTGGTGAGTAAGTAATAGAAACTTGATGAGAAAGTTTGATCCCTCTCTACACGTATAAATAACGGCCTTTAGACCATCACAAAGATACATAAAAAAAATTCGTAAAGAAACACATAAAAAAAGATTGTAAGCAAAGAGAACGAAAATCTAATTCCTACTTAAAGATCAAGTGATCGTCTTCCATTATAATAACTATTTAAGAAGATTTCCGCAACCATAAATCGAGGTATTCCGGAAAATTTTCTTATAGTTTTATTATGTGATTAGTATAGATGTTAAAGATCTTAGGATTCATGTAAAATCAAAGTTTACAATGTTAGGTGGAGCTCATTTAACATCCTTATTGCTTATTGCTTATGAAGAATTCAAATTTTGTTTTGTATATTTTCATGTACATGATGCAGTAGAAGATAATTGAATCGTTTTGATTGTCAAGAACCAACGTTTAATAAATAAAACGGTGCGTTTCATTCTTTAAAAGAGACGAGTACGCGGGTTTTGAAGTTGGTTATAAACACAAAAAGTTTCAGTTAGCAGAGGTGAGAGTTTGAGAAGAAGAAGAAGAGGGAAAGAAAACAAAGAAAGATCAGAAGAAGAAGAAGTGTTGCGATGGATGATGATCGTAAACCACCGCCAACGATGGAGGAGATTCACGAGTTTATGATCACCCACTTTCTTTCTAAGACCGAATCCTCTACGAGAGAAGTCGCTAGACACTTTCTTGAAGCTCGTGAATGGCATATCGACGCTTCAGTCTCCGACTTCAACGACGCCGTCGCCTCCACCGTCGCATCTTCGGCTGCCACTACGAGGAGAAATGTTACAAACCCTAGAGACGGAGAGGACCGAGTAGACCCACGAGTCTTGGCAGCTCGAACTCTGTCTTCGATTCTTCATCCTCGAGTTTCATCTCCGCCGCCGATACGGCTGCGATCACCTCGGTCTCCTCCTTCTCGTGCACGTAACCCGTTTAGTGACGATTCCGATGAACAAGATCAGTAAGTTGGTTATTGTCTCTTCCTCTCAACGTTTCTTTTATTAATCTTTGTTGAATCTTTAGTTTCGATTATGTTGAAGAAAATGTGTCTGTTTATTTTTTAGATCATATAACAAAAGGTTTTTTGAATTATGTAAATGTATTTATTAGGCAAGACGCTGCTATACCATCATCATCAAGAAGACTAAAATTCAGAAGCATAAGCGAGATTCTTTCGGTGACTCCTGAACTGGTCCCGATCACTGTCACTGTTTGGAGGAATGGTTTCACTCTCGATACTAATAATCGTTTAAACACATTGGATGATCCGGCTAATGCCTCCGCTCTTCGGGTTTACTACTATCTTCTTTGTTCACTTCTAGTTTTGTGCTTGGATTTGGTTTTTACATAATGTTTCCCATGTCGTATTCAAGTTCTTTGAAAGCTTGGAGTCACCACGTACATTCGATTCGAAAGATGGCAAACAACGTTTCGTTATCAAACTCATTAGGCGTCAACGTGAAGACTTCCCTGTATATTCTTTCTCTCTTAATGCTTAATCATTTTCTCTTGCTGAAAGCTCTTTGGTTCGTAATATCTTTTTTTAACAGCCGGAGGAGTCACCTAAACCATTCCAAGGAGTGGGAAGAACTCTGTCCGAGCCAGACTCTGTCTCTACTGACCCACCACCAGCTTCATCCGACTCACTGACCACTGAACCAACACCATCATCAGTCGCCATGGAGATAGATCTCACAGCGCCAACGACCTTGATCCCGGTCATATTAGCAGATGGCACGCGTATTGTCTCCCGGTTCAATACTCACCATACCATTAGAGACGTTCGAAACTTCATTGACGCCGCTACACCAGGTGCATCCTCCAGAGACTACCAGTTGATCATCATGGGGTTTCCTCCGAAGACACTGACTGACTTAGACCAAACCATCGACCAAGCTGGCATCTCCAACTCTCTTCTCACCCAGAAGTTCTACTAGACCTTCCTCTTGTAAAACAATCATATTCTCTTTAGGTTACAGACTTACAGTATACATGTTGATATCATAAAAAAAGACCTTGTTGTTTTGACTCTCTTCTCTCTAGGCTAAAAGTCTTTCATGTGTTTAAACCCTCTTCTTATACTTGGATATAAATAAAATTGTTTGACTTTTATATTTTTTATTAGGTTTTCAGTGTGCAGTTTTCTTGTTGAGTTTGTGTATGTGAAAATTTTAATTTGGGCGAAAAGGAACGGCCTGTATTCAGTTTTTCTAACGCTAAGCTTTTTGTATTTTACTTTAAGAAATTCATATGCAAAATGCCTAGCTTTAATTTAAAAAGCCAAGTGTTTTAACACTGCACTAGAATGTGATAACTGCTCGTCTCCAGAAAAGATTTGGATAAAGATTGAGTTTTACCAGGAAATAAATAAAAAACAACTCATCTCAAGTAAAAAAAGCAGAGCTGTAAAACGCAACAATAGCTGAAGAATGATCATTGATCAGCAAGGTTTGAAATTAACAAAGACATGGCTGTCCGGGTTTGCTCAGGATTCCCAGAGAGTAAGACCATAGATTCAACTCCTGTAGTATCCTTGACATCAACTCTGGCTCCTGAAATCTGTTGGTTTTTGAACATTTTAACATCAACTTCATTTGGTTTTTTTGTCTAGCATGTAAAAATGATTCATGTACCAAAGAAACACCTGTTGTAGATTATTTAAACCAGCACCATCTCTTCCATACAATGCAGCAAGAGCATCTTTCTCGACAGCTAGCTCCAAGGTAACGTTTCTTAAAGATACACCTTTACTTCTGCTTCCAACAAAAAAAGAAGCTTAGGTTCATTGCTAACAAAATGGATTACATTCTTGTTGATGGAGGAAAAAGCAGACCGTGGTGGTAAAGAAGACAAGTATCCATCACTAGAAAGTTGAAGCTGTTTCATCCCCTGTGTCAAGCCGTTGACTTCATTCGTCTCGGTGTGCATACAATCAATCGACCTCATTATCTCTGTACTGATTCTTAACATATTCAAGTCTTGTTCACCATCTGATACCGAGAGAGAATCGTCTCTGCCTGTGCTCTGCGGGTTTTGTTGAACCATTATGATTATTCTCAAATGGAAACGTCTAGCTTACGAACAAGAAAACACACTTACTTGTTGTGATGGTTGCAGATTATATGGATTACTAACTCTAGCTCTCACTTCTTCTACGACCTTCTTTGGTGATAGGTTCTCCCGTAACTTAGAAGAAACCTGACACAAGGCCTCTTGTACATTCTTATACTCTCCCATAATCTAAAAAATAATAAGAAAGAGACAAAAGATTAGCTTTTACAAGGTAATAAAAGCATATACTAATTACAAGAAAACACGCGCTTACCTCAATCACAAGTTCATTTTCTGAAAGAGAGTCTAGAATCTGGCCACCTACTGGAATGTGTATATCAACACCAGTTACTATACCTGTTTCTCTGTTCCCAACAAAGTCATTAGCAAACTGTGAGGGTACCAGTAGCTTAGCTTTCACTAAAGCACCAGGGAACAGACTTTTCCCAACATCAATCTCAACAGATCTTGCAAAGACAAGACTCAGAGCCTTTTGTGCATGAGAGTAACGTGACTCAAGGCTCTACAAAAAAGAAAAAAAAAAGACAAAGCGAGTTAGTTTGTGATTACATCAAATGTAGCAAGCAAGCATAAGGAAAATAAAAGCTACCTCACGTGCAGTAATGGTAACAACACGTTCACCAGATACTTTTAATGGAGCTCCAATAGAAATAGAAGCACCTGCTTCATTCTGCATAGCTCTGATGATAGTTCCTTGTCTCCCAATGATGCCTCCAGCTGCAACACTTGTGCAGATTAGTTTGAACACAACCTTACGTTCTGTGTCTTTTGAATCTTGAAAACGGTTTCTTGATGGTGTATGAGTATTGGACGCAGCAGTTTCTGAGGCATTGGGCAAGGAAGAAGACCGCAGGTTTGGAAAATTTTCAGAGTGAGGATCGTTAGTAGATGAGTCATAGGCTTTGCTGCAAAGTGGTGGCGGATAGCCGTTGAGAGGTGGATTGTTTTGAAGAAAGGTTGATACCATAACCAGTGCCTTCTTCACAGCTAAGACATCACCGGTGATCTATGTACAGAAAGTAAAAGAGAAACTCACTACTCAAAACCAAAAAGAAAGGAACACAAATGTTATCAACTTTTCCTAGAGAATAGCTGGAGCACTTAGTTATATGTTGAAATGAGCATTTATAACTAAATTCGAATCAAAAACTTGAATTTCCACCTAATCCAAAATGTAAAAAATACATGGACGGGTCTTGTAGGACGGTGTTTCGAGAATCAGTATAATCTAAACCCGTCCCAAACCCAAACATTTACCCAAATAAACAAGAAAACCAATCAAGAAATTCGAGTTAATAAATAAAATAAGTCAAAACCTAAATAAGTTTCTTAAATATTTAATTTCATATTTATTTTTTTTCAACTGTTAAAATTCATGATGACCTAAAATATTATTTACTGAAATCAAAAGGTATTTGGATCGAAAATGAACCTTATAAAGAGCTTTAAAAATCTATATGAACTGAAGTATTATTATTAACTAAACCTATCCCTTTTGTTTTAAACAGCTACTAAACCTAACTCCAGAATGTAAAATACTCAAATGAGCCTTAGACCAAAATATATCTTAGAAAGAGCTATAAAAATCTATATGAACCCAAAGTTTTATTAAGTAAACCTAGCTCTAACTTGTATAAAACCCAAATGAGCTTATGAGACTGAATCCATAAAAATCCGACCCCAACCCAAATGCCTATAGACCAAAATGAATGTAGTTTTTACTGGAATAATTATATTGAAAGATTATTCAACACAAAGCTTTTGCAGAAACACAAAAAACATTCATCCCCACCTTGTCATTGCTTCTCCCTCTACTTATATATACATTGTCACATATTAAATTGTTACATACCAACTTTACAAAAACCATGCGTTGAGAAACAGTTGACCGAAACCCCAGAGACTTTAAAACTTTACGTTTTGACTCCAAAGTGGACCAAAAGGAGACAGAACATACCTGAATCAGTTCATCACTGTTCGTACCACAACTCGGAGGAGGCAAAACCCTAACCATCGCACCAGAGCTTCTCCTCACCCACTCCACGTTCTTCCCTCCCAACCCCAACACAGCCCCTACCTGACTCCGATCAGCTAGAATCCCACAGTAAGCCTCATTATCATCCCCCTCCGCCACAACTCCGCCGCTATCCTTCGCCGCCAGAACCGCCCACGATCTCTCCAAAACCCTAATCAACGCCGTCTGAGCAGCTGACACCTGGCAAGTCACCCAACCCTCGTGCTCACCCCCGGAGAAGTCTCCCACTCTGTCGGTCAACAGGACGCTCTTGTTAACGGCGGTTGACCCGACGATGAATACCACCCAGTGTTCGGAGCCGTTCGCTGCCGGAGACTCGCAGTGGATTTTTGTACCGGTCTCGCGTCGCAGTTTTGAGACGACGTAGCCGTTTGAGCCGATTATTCCGCCGATAACGGACGCGTGGCAGACGACTCGTAACGCTACCTCGTCCGGTAACACGTGGATCAAAGGCCGTCGTTGGTTCTGATTCGACACGGTGGTTGTTGCTCCATAGCGGTTATTCATGTCTCTCTTTTTTTTTTTTTTTTTTTTTTGCTAAGAATGTTAACTCTTTAGTGTGTTTTCTTCTTCTTCACACACAAGTTAGGGTAAAGAAGCGGGAACGACAAAACGCTGAGAACAGTTTCGTTTATGGGAAAACGCGTAAATCTCTCAAATCACCACCATTTTCGCATATATGAATGTTTTCACCAAAGGAAAGTTTAGCGATTCGTTTCAAACGCTAAATATTTTGTCAGCATTAAAAGACAGCGGCGTTTAAGGGGAAATATTCGATTTTATCAGTTCAACGGCATTTATAATATTAAATTTCATGATATTTTGAACCAATAAGAAAAAGTAAATTTCCTGAATTTATTTTTTGTCATCAATAAATTTACTGACTGACCTGGAGAAAACTTACAAAATGGTTTGAAGTAAAAATCATTTTATCGGCCCATAAACTGGCTTTCGGAAGATCAGCCGGTAGAAAACCAGGGAGGAAATATTGGAGGTGCGGGGAATCGAACCCCGTGCCTCTCGCATGCGAAGCGAGCGCTCTACCATATGAGCTACACCCCCGATTGATACATGTTTATCTTTACAATATCTCTATAATATTATTTGAGAAGTCAGTTTCCTATATGTCGCTCTCACGTTCACTCTCACGATGGTTGATTACATTGATACCCTTAATGAATTAAAAATAGTTAAAATATTATTATTAATTCTTTTATTTAGTTTCCTTTTTAAAAATTTCCAAAAATATATTTAATAACAAGGAAATTTTTTATAAAATCATAAAAACAAATTGAAAACGAAAAATATATGTATATATAATATGATTTCCTAAAAAAATAAAGTTCACAAAATAGTAATAATACATTTAAAAATATTTTTAAATAACATAAAATATACTTTTAGAGTAATAATTTTTTTTATAATTAGTATTATTGAATTTTTTATTTATTTTTCATATATTTAGTTGACTATAATATCTTTCAATTATAGAAAACTATCTTTTAAATTATATTTTACTTAATTATATAATAGTATTTCGAAATACAATCACAATTTTATGTAGTGCTTATTTTTAAGAGATATTAAACACAAAAAAATAAATTTAACAATAAACATCGCTTGATCAAATAATTTTATCATTATTAAAATTATTTTTTTCTTAATATTAAATTTTAAATTTTTATGTTTGTGAAACTAAATATAACCATAATCAAAATACCAAAGCAAATATGAATTTCCAAATTTAAGATTATTTAAAATAAATTTCAGTTTACATTCAATAAATCTAAAGCATAAAGTTATTTAGAATTTATAAATATTTTAGTTATTGTAAATATTGATATGTGTTCATGAGGTTCCAAAAATGTATCAACTACTTATGCATGTAGCCTTTTATTGATCATAGGACAACACAAAACATATTAACAAATGAAAATAAATANTACATTCAATAAATCTAAAGCATAAAGTTATTTAGAATTTATAAATATTTTAGTTATTGTAAATATTGATATGTGTTCATGAGGTTCCAAAAATGTATCAACTACTTATGCATGTAGCCTTTTATTGATCATAGGACAACACAAAACATATTAACAAATGAAAATAAATATTAACCAACTCTTACAATTTTAGTTCTTTTTGTAAAATTTATATATATGCATGAGACTTTGGAATATTATCGTTATATTAATTTACGTATTTTGGAATCTTTAGTTAATTTTTAATTCATTCTAAGTACAATATATCTTAAGTTATACATAATTTTACTAAAATATATTTACATATCTAAGACAACACCCACTATATGCAAATATATAATTAATAAAAAATTAATATATTTTAAAACATTACAGTTGAATTCAGAGATGCAATCCAATTTATCCAAATGATAACTAAATCAACCGTAAAAACAACAAAATCGACTAGATATAACCTATATAAAATTAAATTATAATTAAAGTAATATAATATTATTAATATAAATAATACATACAAATTATAAATTAATTAAAAATTAAAATTAAATAGTAATCAATTATTATTATATATTTACTTTAAAAATATTTATACCCGTGCATGAGCACGGGAAAATCACCTAGTTATGAATATAAAACGACTGTCGACTAGCTGAAGGAAGGAAATTCTAGTGGTTGAGGAACCTCTGGTTTTGAATAGAGGCGGTCTGGTCATAGTTGACGTTATTAATAGCTTCTGCATCGTTGGCTCAGGCAATATGGTTGTATGTCTACAAAGTGTTTGCGATATTGCTTGACTCCTATGTTTGTAATCGAAAGTCTTTGCCCTTTTTTAGTTCTGCAGGCTCCACTAAAGCCTTAACAATACAGATATCGTAGATGGTGGAGGAATCTTCAAAGCTTGCTAATGAGAGAGAGTCTTTTGACTTCTTGGTAATCAATCAGCTCTAAATTGGCTTGAAAATGAGACTTGTGTGTCACTCTTAGGAGAAACGATTGTGTTGATGGGTTTGTGGATTCCATGGAGAAAGATTAGTTCTAATGTGTTTTTGTGTATTGAGGTGAAGGAAAAACAGATCAACTTCCTAAGCTTTTTTCTTGAAACATCAAAGTGTTTTGGGGGGGATCTTGAAGATTGTGGTTGTAGCCTTGTAGGTATCTGCACAGACATATGCGTGTTTGATTTTGTGGATACTGTATTCTTTTGTGGATACTGTGTTCTTATTCCTCTAGAAGATGCCGTAGTGTACGCCACCTTTGACCTTCCACTTCATGTTTCAAAAGATATCAAAGGCTCATCCTCTGGTACTAGACTTTCTCTTGTGAAAACTGATTGATCATTTCGTTTATTTCTTCTGGCGACTTAGACCTTTGAATTGGCTCATCTTCTCGTTTTTCTGTTGTGTTTTCTAGGCAGTTTATGCACCATTTAGGGTCTGTCTATGCTAAAGGAAGAGGAGCTAAGGTACAGTGTCTCCTTACAGTTAGAGTCTTAAGCATCGTCAGATAGATGGTTCAACCATCATGGTTGCATAACTATTGTCTGTATACTGTATTCAATACCATCATGAAACACACAAATGGACAAACAAAATCACAAACTCTGTTACTTGTAATGGTTCTGATACAAACTTTTAAAGAAGAAAATGAATAAAAAAAAAAAAACTGGGAGACAATCCTCTTGCTTCACCAGTTACAAGCTGTGATCAATCTACAATACTCAAAACTATTGTTTCAGTCTCGCAATCCAGAAAAACAAAAGATATAAAAAAGGTTCAATCTCCCCAGGGAAAACACAGGTAAAAGAAAAGAAGAAAATGAATCAAATCATCCATGAATCTGAATTAAGTTACAGTATATATGAATCAATTAACTCTGTGGATGGTATGTATTATTTATATTACCTATGTTGTTGATGTAGAAGTCTTCATCTTCCTGTATAGTGAAGGATGCATACATGAGAATATAGACGGCTTTGCCTTCTTCTGTTTTGAGCCAAAGATGAACGACCTCAAGGGCACTCTTGAGCGACTATCCGAGTGCTGAAGCTCAAGTTCAGACCTGTTCTTCGAACCAGAAAGCGCAAACTCCTCGGTTAACATCCCTAGAGTCTTGTCAATCTCTAGCTGAAGCGTGGTAATGTGATCTAACCCCGCCTGTAACTCATCAGCCACTTTGTTGTTCTCCTGCTTCATATTCAACACCTCACCTTGGAACTTAGCTGCTTGATAGCTCGTGAACCTGAAGTCATCATCTTCAGCACTTGACTTCAAGGCCTTTGTTATCTCTTCCTGTATGTTACACAAAGACTCAAATCTTGATTTTAATTCCTCTTTAAGGGCTGCACCTTTCTCAAGCCAGAGACCAAGGTCTGTGTTTATCTCCCTCAAGTGTCGGAAAAGTGGTCTAACATCTGATCTCAGTGCGTATTTAGCTGTGCTGCTTCCGTCCTGCTTCTTCTTTTGCTCCAGCTTTGCTATCTCGGCTTGTAGATCTTCTATTGATGTGTCGTAGCTCTGTATCTGTCCAAAAGCTGTGCTGAACCTTAACCAGAAGTCAAGATTCTCCTCTAGAAGCTCGTCTATGTTCATCCTGAACTGTTCCTCGACAAGGGACATGTTCTCGTTCTCTGTAGCCATGAAACCGATGGAGTAGTCGTCGTTTGACATCTGGCTTTCCAACAGGTCGTTACTGTCTGCTAGACCCTTCTGCAGGAGGGACATCTTCTCTCTGAGTAGCTTGATCTCATCGTCTTTTGTTGCGTTCTTTGTTTTTGTCTCGTCCAGAGCTTTCTTCATGTCTTTGTAGTTTCTTAGAATGGTTGTGTACTCGGTGAGCAGATGCTTTTCTCTGTTCTCCATTCCCTTCATGTACATCTCTTTCCAATCTGGTTCACCTTCCTCTTTCTGTTTGCTATTGAAAGTAATATCAGATTCTTTAGAAGACATCTGCTTCTCTAAGACATGATCTGTCTTGTCAGATGCAGCTTGCATCTCTAAAACATTCTCTGGAACAGAATCTCTCTTGTCTGATTCAGACTGCTTCTCCAAAACATTATCAACAACAGTCTCTGTCTTCTCAGAATCAATCTTTTCAGTAGATTCCAAAACCACTTCTGAACTTTTACTTGGGATGATGAGATCACTCTTCTCAGCTTCCTCTTTCTTCTCCTTGGCCATTTCCTTTAGATGTTCCTCACTATCTCCAGAAACATCTAAGCTCCTCTTGTCACCTTCCACATCATTCTTCATCACCAAGCTATCAGACTCACTCTCTGGCTTAACCTCATCCAAATTCCCAGTAGAGAGGTTATCAAGATTAGTACAAGCTGCATCAAACTCTGTACTCAGACTGCTACTCTTAACCATAACATTCCTGTCCAAGTCCTGCAATGCTTTGAGTCTCTCCTCCATTTCCTTAAGCTTCTTCCTCAGATCACTCTTGTCATCCGCAAGAACAGCCTTGTCGGTCTCAAGAGTACTGATCTGCGTCTGAAGACCGTTGGTCTCGTTTCTTAACCTCTGAATCAAAGCAGTCTGAGAGGAAACCGCACTCTCCAAGCTAATCACTTTGTTCACAAGCTCATCAACTCTCTCAGCCATCTCTGTAGCATCTAACGAAGAGTTCACACCAGACTCAAAATGCTCCCTAATCTTCTCCTTCACAGACTCCAGCTCTTGCTTCTTCCTAGACATCTCTCTCATCTCATGTTCCAACTCTTTTCCAACATCATCACTATCATCTAAGGCACTCTCCTCCCCTAGAAACTGACTCGCCATAGACCTCAGCTTCTCTTTAGACTCCACAATCTTCACATGCTCCTCTCTAGCTTCTTCATAAGCCTTCTCCTGCTTCTCCTGCAACTCCACCAGCTTCTCCTGACACGACTTAATCGCAGTCTCGGTCATCAACCTCCTCGCTTCATCGTCTTCAATCACAACACTCTCACCAAACTCATCCTGCAAACCACAGATTCTCTCTTGCTTCTCCTTAATACTCTTCTCAAACTCCCAATACTTTGACAACCCTCTCTCATAAGAGCTCTTCACAAACTCCTTCTCCGTCTGCAAAGATAAAATCTCCTTCTGCAGCTTATCAATCTCTCCCATAGCCTCGGCCTTACTCAAACCAGAACTCTTGACAACCACATTGGTCGAACCACCAGTGTACTTCATAGACTTTCTTGGTTGAAGCTTCTTGGTAGCCACTCTAACCGCGCTTTTCAAGTCTTTAACAGGTAGCTTGGGGACGTTAGGAGCGTTGGGACCAGAGAGGTTCAGTCTTTTGGAGAATCTAGAGGGGCCATCGTCGTCATCGTCCATTGCAAAGTTTGGGACTTGGTCAGGGAAAGCAGTGGCGATGGTCGTGTTGGCGTTTTGAAGCTCTGTTGAGATCTTGTCGTAACGTTCGGCTAAGGCTCTGTAAGCTCTGAAAGATTCTTCCACGAATGTTATGAGTTCTGGTCTCTTTTTGTAATACATCTCCGCACGCTTGGCGAAAGAGTCTCCATCTTCTTGTAATAGTTTGAGCACATATTGCACCTTCTCTTCGATATCTGTTTTCATTTTTTTCAAAAATAAGAGATCTTTTTTTTAGACAACCTCAAAAGATAATAAAGATCTAAACTTTATATTAAAAGAGAAATAGGGTTTCAGAGAAAACGAATCATATGTTAACCCAAACAATCAAACCGATACACATAATACGAAATAGATAGAGAGAGAGAGAGAAGAGAGAGACCTTGAAGGTTTTGTTCGAGCCATTTAGATTGTTTGGTACGAATATGACTCGCCCACCACCATGAATACGCATTACTCGCCGCTCTCTGCAGCATCTTCTTCTTCTTTTTCTTCCTCTACGAAATTATATGATCACCAAGAGGCAGAAACAGAGGAAAGCTTAAGACATATGTATGTGTGTTTTGTGTCTCTCTCTAGATCTCAAGAGGATGAAAAGAAAGAGAAAAAATCGGTGAAGCTTTTTAAGACCAAACAATGAAAGTTAGAGACTTGTATAATTTTTGTGTTGATCTCTCTCCTTTCCTTTGAGCTGAGCTGTTGATTGGATCATGGGTGGGAGCAAACTTCGCTCTTTCTTCTTTCTCTCTCTACCTAAATATTTTTTTAATTTTTCTTTTCTTTTTAGGACTCATTATTTATTACTGAATTAATTTAATGGATATTTGGTAGTAATATTTAGAGTTTACTTGTACGAATGTCTTTATTACCAACTAGGGTCGGCCCGCGCTTCGCGCGGGATATGCTTTTCGTATGATATATATTATTATATAATTATATATTTTCATTGTATGTATTTCATGATAGGATTTTAAAAATAGTGTGTAATAATGTTGATGGGTTTAAAGTATTTTTGGGTGAAGAAAATTTATAAATATTAAAATTAATTATTTTAGATTATGATAGTTGTGTTTATATTGAGAAATTGTAATGTATACACAATTATAATTTTGGGTGAGGTGGTAACAGGAATTGAAAAATGTTAGTTATTTGATACCATATCTCTCTAGTGTAGGTCTACGTTATACGCGGATGTGGTAATTTGTTTGTGATATTTGTTGGAAGATATTAAATTTCATTTTATGTTTTCGTTTAACATTTATTTTACTTATTTTGATTATATTATGTAAAATATATATATATAATTATTTTTGTTAAAATAATGAATGGAGCTATATTATTTTATTATTTTTGTAAAGATATTTTAATCTATTTGTTTTATTTTTAAGCATTTATTAGCACTTTTGTTTTTATGTGTTCTTTGTCGGATTATTTTTATTGGTCTCTGGCTGGAACATTGTAATTATATATTTACATTTTGATAACATTACTGAAACTATAATTGACCTACAAAAAGACAACAGCCCACCAGTAGGTGGTATAGGGGGCTCAAAAGAGTAAACAAAAGAAAAAGAGTAGTACAACGGGAAGGTCAAATCAGCAGAGTTGATTACTTATGACCAAGTTCCATCGTATCCAAGCATGTTGAAAACGTAGCTTTGAAACGTCAATCCTTAGCTTCCTGGTTCAACAAATGACAGAGCCAGAAAGGACTATTGGCAGAAATATAAGATTGAGATCTAAGGTTCTGAGTCACACTATTAGCTATCGCCATGGCCGCTTGGTTTCGTAATAGTAAAGTATGTTCCAGTGACCACTGATTAATTTAATATGACCAAGGAACCCATGTAACTTACTTACCCGTTCCTGGAGGTTGAGAGCAATACTTGAATTTAGAATAACTTCCCTTGCCTTTCCCCACGAGGCCTCAAAGATAATTCTATCAAACTTCATTGGTGCCACTGATTTTATCGCCCACCAAATACCCAATAATTCAGCTTCCCTTAATGAATGTACAAAAGAGAAAGCTCTCCTTCCAATCCATGGAGTAATGTTTTTTCCAGAATGATCCCGAACAAGCCACGCCACCCCACACAAATCACAAGTTATTTGACGCTGACCAAAAAGCAGCAATGTTACATTTTAAAACGTTGGCCATAGGTTTTTGCCACTTCCGAGTTGATAGGTGAACTCCATCTACCATACCTGCCTATAAAACACACACCCACAATAACTTAGCCACAGTTATTACCTAGACATATGTATTGTCTACTGGTTGTTTACCAGAGAATTGCTCTTCTTTGGGCCTTTGTGATCAGATTCTCTTCTTCCCCAGCTATTCCTAAAAGCATTACCAATACGTTTTTTTGCAGAACATAAAGACGGTGGTGTGTTATTTAGTATGCTAGGCTGCTGATAAGTACACAAAGCACCATCTTGTGGATCCATAAACTGGTGCAGCTCATATTTCTTCCTGCAGATTTAAGATATATACAATGAGATGATTATACATAATATTATAACCAAATTATAAGTAAAAATATCTTACCTGATGAAATCATTGCGTTCCTCATTATTGGAATCAGGTTTGGGTTTCTTTAACTGGTCCATGTTGCAAGCTTCGAATCTCTGGTTCACTGCATTGTTTCCACCGTACCCTACAAGCATATCAACTTGCTCATCTGTCCACTCATCTAGCTTAACTGAAAAAACCTGTCATTAACGGCCAAATCTATTAAAAGGCTCTAAACATAAATAAATAAATAAATAAAAAGGAGAGAGAAGGCAGATTTTGATGAGAAAGAGAGGACCTTTGATATATGAACTCCAAGGCTTCTGTGTACACCAGAACACTTTACGCAAATAAATACACCAAGAATCAGTCGAAGAATAACAGTTTTCATAACCAGTAGATAAACAGATTGAAACTAAATCACCAACAAACATGAAATCGAAACCATAAACACATGAATCAGTTGAACATTAAAAAAAAGAATCAGTCGAAGAATTACAATTTTTATAATCAGTAGATAAACAGATTGAAACAAAATCAACAAACAAACTTGAAATCGAAATCATCTCACATAAACGAAATCGGTATTAAGCCTGAAAGAAGAAAATAAAAGGTGAGTCGTTTGAAGCTGATAAAGATTCAGATCTTACATTTCCATCTACGAAGAGCAAATCAATGAACTGGATCTCTCCACCACGCCTTATACGCCCTGATTGCCGGAACCGGAGAAGCCGTGCCTGAACACCGTAGGAGCACCGGCCGATCTGCAAGTTAGAGAAAAAAATATTGGAAAAGGCCATCTTGTATCAAAAAAATTAATGAGCTCAGGAATTACGTGCTTTTATGGAGATAGCCTAAACTGAAACCGGCCGTTTAAGATACAGGGGAGATGGAGAAGCCAATCGTCGCCTATCGCTGGAGAAATCGTACAGAGAGAAGGTGAGACAAAAAAGGAAAACGGGCCAGTTCAGTAATTGTGAAGCCCAGACGGGCGGCCCAAAATCAGAATACTAAGCTGACGTGGAGTTACTGATGTGGCAGCATACGTGGCATAGCTAAGGAGTGATCAAACTCTTCTTTATATAATAGATGTTATAGTGCCAGCGTCGTGGTTGGAAGCATTCTCTCTCCGATTATTCTTCTCTATCGGAACCAAATATACTAGTTATTTAGTTTATTAAATTTAAGTTAAAACTGGAAAGAATATTCTCATCATATTAAAATAATGGAAGAAAAAAATGGAATGTGAAAAAGTCGTCTTTAGTGACATTGTCGGTATTTTGGACAAAAGATGTTCAAGCAAGCAAAGCTTTTTTCTTCTTTTTTTGGTATTAATTTATTGAATCTTTAATGTACTTCTATTTTTTTATTAATTTTAATTTAGTTCTATTCTATCGTACACGGACACGTTTTGATAAACCGGTCAAAGGCCGGTGCGTCACGAACCAAAACCTTCTCTCTTGTCAAAATGTGACTGAATTACTTTTTCTTTCCGACAAGTAGGAAATAATTATTTTTTCAAGTTTTTGAAGTACTATTGTGAAAAAGAAAAATATTTAAATGGGAGGAGAACAAACTGAATAATGCTGAACGTTGTCTTAGCCTTTTAAAACAGACATTTTCGAAGCCCATATGTCTCATTTTCTTAGGCCTCATACAGATTCAAGTGAAAGTCTATAAGCAATAACTTCTGACGCTTGATCTGATTATCAAGCCATGGTTAAGGTGAACAAAACAAATTATAGAGACTTCGTATGTAGCTCCTGGTGTACTTGTTGGATTAGAGAACACCCGTATGAGATCGAAGCAAAAGATCTATAAGGTATGTACAAAAAGTTATATTATGGCTTATGGGGTCGACAGCCACGTAATACCGCATAAACGATATCTATCATTTACCAACTTACAATGTCCATCCATTAAGTAATATGTTGATGATAACACAGAGATGCATTGAAGAGAGCTAACAATATCATAGATGCCATAAAAGGAAAACCTCTTCCTCAGACAAAAACTAACATCAAACAAGAGAAATGACAGAGTATATATCTCCTCACTCCATCAACTTCTTTTTATGATTCCATCTCTAACCCCCATACGGTAAGCTGCAAGAAACCAAACATTAAATCCTTTAGTTCCTTTTAGGGTGATTCAACTAAACAGGCTATATATTTCTCCACACTAACATTTTGCAAAACAAATAATCGTAATAGTGGTCTATTTTTCACATTGGACTTAAATAAATAATGATTGATATCATATAAAATACAGAACATGTCATCAGATAAAATAGCAAGGTAATTCTTAAAACAGACACAAAAAATTATTTACGATTTTTTTTTTTATCAATTTACTAAGCAAAAATGATCAACATGTGATTATTTAGGATATTATTAGCTTTTTCTTTAATGTTCGCTTTTACAAATAAAAATCATGTCAACTTATTAAATCAGGGAAAAAAAAAACAAAATTAAGAGAGAAGGTGAAAAATAATGAAATACCCGAGCCTAAGGGAAGTATCGGAGCTCTCGGAGTCAACAGGAGCGCCGGTGGAGTTTCCGACGTTAGTAATGGACTCCGACGAATGCCCTTCCTCGTACAAGACGGTGTTCTCTGACTCAACACCACCGTATCTTTCATGCATATTATTACATATCTGGACCGTAACCAAATAAAAATTCCAAATTTAGCATTAAACCAAAGAAAATACAAAAAAATCGAAATAATACCGACTTACTTGCTTGCCAAGCCGCTCGTTCTCTTCTGTTAGTTGTGTTCCCTGCAAAATAAAGATTGAAAAACAGAAACGAAAAACATATATCTCGTAAGTTGAATCAAATCCATGCACATTCTACATCTAGAACTAATTTTCCACTGCTTTTACCCTAGCGACGACTAGCTATATCAATTTATCATTAGGCATAAAGACACTATATAATATATATATAACCACGCTAATCACTTGGTTTAACCATTTACGTCAAAGTATGATCTATGTGTTATAGGACAAAGGATAAGATGCGTACTTGCTGCTTTAGCCGTTTGTTCTCATCCATCAATTGCATTCCCTAAACACCCACACGAGAGAATTTTTGAACACTCGAAATTTCCAAAACCATATGAATTACTAAGTAATACATCTCATTTATGTTATTTTACCTTTCTTTGAAGGTCGCTGATCTCATTCATAATCTTCTCACTCTGCAAACAACATTCTTAATAGTATGGTAAATATTCGTAAGCTTAGAGAAATCTTATACTTGGTATCATACTGTTGTACTACTTTCAACATCATTACGTAGTAAGTAATAAATAACCTTTGTTTCAATCACACGCGTCAAGCCAGCTTCAAGGGCCTTTTCCAGCTGTTGCAGCTCTTCAATGTTAAGTCCTTGAAGTTCTTCTCCTCTCATTTGCCTATATAGAATTATTTATAAACATTTACTTAGAATTATTATAATCAGGAAAACAATCGTAGAATTTGCATATGTAGTAATGTACCTTAGTTGGTGGCTCTTGTCTGCAATTTCTTTGCTCAACCGGGCGTGGTCACTGTTCTCAACCAGCTAAAAATAAAACATCGACTTAAGGAAATTCATTCATGTAAATATATACACATGACTAATTCTAGTGGTCTAGCTAGTCTTAGAGAGCTCCCATCCATTCATATTGTAAAATGGTTTTAAGCCAAACTATAATTATGCAGAGAATCATAAACCAAATCTTTTAAACACTTTTAGTTCGTTTGCAATATAATGCTTGTGTCCTATTATTATACAATGTCTTAGAGTTATGCAGAGAATCATAAACCAAATCTTTTAAACACTTTTAGTTCGTTTGCAATATAATGCTTGTGTCCTATTATTATACAATGTCTTAAAGTTTCTTGATCAAATTTATGTACATGATGATGCATTAATTAATGGTAATATAACGAAGCAATAGATTTTATAAGTTACAGAATGCCAAAGCTAACCTGTAACTCAAGAGATGGCTGATCAAGCTTGTCCAAGTTTTTTGACTGCAAGTTATGCCTCTCTAATACTTCCTTCATGCTTCATTACAAAACACAAACACATTCCAATAATAAGTAAATGATTTGCTATTATATTATAAAACATCAACATTGTTGAATATGTCTCTGTACTTTAGATTTAAAAATATCGACAATGAAAGTATATTTATGTATCAACAATGTACCCAATATTTAAAATCAAAAGACACAACCAAAATTCACAAAAAAAAAAATATTTCTCAAACAGAAGTATTTCATGGTAAACACTGTCGTTTTTAAACATGTGTATTCGTAGATGTGAGTGTGTATGTATAGATGTCCCGACGTAAGGAACCGAACTGGTAACTCGTGGGTCAGAAATCCAAAACCATATCTTTATGATAAGTGGTTTTAGATTCCCAACAACTATAAACATATGGTCACCACATATTTACAAATAAATATGAAATGATGGCTTCCATATATCATCCACAATAATTACATATACAGATTTTTTGAGCAAAAAAAAAAACTACATATACTGATTTATACAGAAAATATAGAGCCTTTACTAATTAATATTTGCATTATCTTGAATATTACTGTAAGTAGATACCTTATTTTGCTTAAATAAGAAGTTTACCATAGTTTTATTTTTGTCATTTTAGTCACAGTTATTCCTTATGTGAAAAGTTAGTGGTCCAGTACGGTTCGATACAGTAAAATTTGTGTATGATATGATAAACACATCTAAGAAACTCTAAGCTTTTTCTGGATCTAGAGATGATTTTTGAGAAAATTAAAGAGAACCAACAGAAACACAACGTAGAGAGATAGAGATAGAGAGAGACCTGGAGCTACAAAACTCAAAGAGCTTTCCGGTGGAAGAGAAGATGATGAGGGCAACATCAGCGTCGCAGAGGACGGAGAGTTCTTCAGCTTTCTTGAAAAGACCTCTTCTTCGTTTAGAGAAAGTTACTTGTCTCGCCGTCGCGTTGTCGATCTTCCTGATCTGAATCTTTTCTCTTGCCATCTTAAAAAAAAAAGGAAAGAAAAACCCTACAACAATATTCTGAGAGAAGGAAGATCTTGATTGTGAATTGAGATTCAAGAATGAGTGATGATTAAAGAGAGAGAGAGAGAGAGGAAGAAGAACCAGAAGGAAAAAAAATCCGAGAGAGAATTATTGCTAAAAAGGGAGACTTTAAAGATGGGAGAGAGAGTGACAAGACGACTGAAATGGAAAGTAATGCGTTCTTTTTGCTAAATTTAGAAGAATAATATGATTTTCAAGACAGTAAAAACCCTAGTTTTTTTTTGAAGATTTTAAAGATAAGGAATTAAAGTCTTTGTGAGAATTAGATCTAGTTGATGAAATTCCATAAGCAGAATTACGACTGAATAGGTTCAAACAAATACTTAGAAAGAAAAAATATATAAAAAGAAAAAGCTAAGGAATAAAAATTCTTAATTTTCCACCTCTAAGGTAAAGGAAAGAATTAGACATGAAAGGAGTTTGATTGGTGAAGGTGATATATATTTATGAAGAGGGGTCTATTATTTAATAATACTGATGGGGTTTTAAGCGGTTATTTTTAGAAAGAATAAATTTAATACTATTATTTAGATATTGGTATGTGTGTGTGGTGGTTATTGGATGTGGTGAGGAAATAGGATTTGAGTCTCCAATGAGAAGAGAAGTGTTTGTTTGGGCCAGAATAGGGAAGAATAAAATGAGTTGTCTCACTGTCACTTACACTGGTAACTAATTAGTCGCATTTTCTGTAATTTTTTTTTTCATAAACTCTGCAAGAACTTATGGCCAAGAATATAATTTCATACTAATAAAGTTGGTATATATGGAATTTTCAATATGTTATTAACCCATAAATAAATAAATTCCCGAAAAAAATAAAATAAGTTTGTTTTTATCCGATTAATCAAAATTTTCAAGGCAGATCTATACTTTATAGTGTTATAGTTTTAGTATTACATACTATCTATGTTCAGTTAAGGCAAAAAATTTCAAAAACAATAAATATTTATATAAATACATCATTTTAAAAGTGATCATTTCCAAGTAATTCAACAACCTTAATTAATTTTCTAAATGTTATATTTTCAACTAGTTAATAAAAAATTTATAGAAAAACACCTAGGCGAATTTTTGTGAAACAAACAGAACGAATATTATATATCTCTTAGGTGGATATTTGTATCATTATGGACGGACCCAGAAGTTTATAAAATATGGGACACAAAATGTTATAAAAGATTTAGTAAAAGGACATGTAAATAAAAAGTATGGGGCACATAATGCTATAACAATTAGACTAAGGGTATTTAAACAAATTTTGAACCAAAATCTTTAAAAACAAAAATTAGGGTGGGTGCCACACCCTTCCCTTACCTGCGTCCACCCCCATCATAGTTTTAGAATTTGGACTATCATACAAAATAAATTACACTAAAAATTACTTAAGTAAGCTAAAACACACACAACTAAAATGTTTGACCAAACTAAAAAATTACTATTTGATTCTAACAAAATCTTCTTTTAAAAATGTATAAATTTTCTTTCTTAACAATCTTTTTGTGTTGAAGATGGATTTTTTTGACATGATCATTGTTTTGTTCTCGATAATATTCGAATAGATGACTATTTTAGCAATACACACAGTTATACTAATCCTGTGTTGAAATGATTTTGAAATCATACCATTTTGGTAATGTATTTTAGACTTATTTAATTAAAATATGATAAGTTTTCTGATTCCGTCAAACTCATCTAAAAATTATCGAAACTGAATCTTTTCAAATACAATTTTTAATACACCCCTATAAAGTATTTTTTGGTATAATGATTTTTTTCTGGCTTCTAATTTGGGTTAATTACGATAATTTAAATATTTGTCAATTCTTTTGTTAGGTTTACCAACTATTGTTTTATTTTTATGTTTTTGGTTACGTAAAAAAATGCTTTTTTGGTTACGAAAAATTCGATTGAACATCCATCATGCCATACAATCCAAGCCAAAGGGAAGAATGCATACATGAGTGCTAAAACACAAAGAGATTGAAACGCTTAAATATTTTCTGAATAATTTACATTTTACAAATTTGTACAGTATGGGCCGCACGGGACTGTTCTCTTTGGATTTTGATTGGTCAAAGTGTCAGAGTGACCATCCCAGCCACTGAGTAACATTGCCCCTAATGTTTTAGCTATTTTAGGCCTCGACAGACCCTACTCTGTACTCACTGACACACTTCTTTCCATGAATCATACAACAGTGACAGTTACTAAAAACCAAAAATCATAATGGGCCCTATTTCAAAGCCCATTTAGTTATGGAAGGTACGGAAATAGTCTAGTCTACGCCTTATACTCGGTCAGTGTTGGTGTTGGCTAAAGCATCGCCTACAGGCTACAACAGTTACAATGATGAGGTTGAAAGTATTTCTTGGCAAAGACCAAAGGCAAAGAAGAAACTCTAACAAAAGAATTTTTAAAAAGTTAACGATTTAGGATTGGTTTTGGTTTGAGATGGCTTTCAAGTCAAGTTGTCTGATTAAGATTGATGTAGAGAAATCCCATTAAAATATAAATCACATGACAAAAGATGACAAGACCCAAGAAGAACTCTGACAAAAGATTAAAAACATTTCTCACTTATGTCCTTGTGCAGTCCATTTCTCAACCAAGAAATCACTCACCAGGAGCTCGACATTACAATTCGGTGACAACTTGTTGTAGAGTTCAAACATCTCGTCAATACAGTCAGCCACTTGGTTGTTTCTGAGCTGTGTAGGATCATGCTCTTCAACAAAGACGTCCAGCCTCTTCAAACACGGAAAATAGTCCAAGAAATGCTTAATCATGCTCATCTCTTTCATTGTTCCTCGAAACCTTTGAATCTCTAATCTCTTCACTAGACAAGACCTGAGTGAACTACCTTTGTCTTCCCGGGGAATGCAGGGACAAGCATCCCCGCATTTATTTGTTACATAGTGTAATAGACCCTGGAAGCAAGCGAGTAAAGCAAACACCACGTTTAGTGTAAGTAAAATATAAAAAAAACACATGTAGTTTCATGTGTGTTACAATTCTACCTGAAGGACTATAGTTTCCAAATATGGACAGTTTCTTAAAATAGCTGGCATTGCTTGCCATCCTCGACCATCTTCACTCTTAACACCTAAGAACTTGAGGTTGTTGAACACTGGCATTGTATCACAGCATTGAGAAAACACCTGAAAACACACAAAACTAGACATTTTGCAACTAATGTTTCACAAGTACTAGACCAGAAAGAAACAACATTAAAAAAAAACTGACCTCAAGAGTATCATAAGTTAAGGAAAGTGTCTGAACATTTTGTATGCCATTCATGAGCTTCACCACATTGCCAAATTGGAGAATCTCATCACCCTCTAGCAACTCCTCATTATTTGGCTCTCTTAACCTCTTGATCTGAGCATCAGTTACTATAAGACCGATTCTAGCATGAGATAGTTTCTTCATATTAACCAAAGGAAAATCCTCAGCGACTAAGTCATAGTAACTCAAGAAAAGCAAGTTTGGAGTATCAAAGGAAACACTCTTCGGATTTACAAAACCGTCACAACCAGTGCCATGAAGAATCAGCTTTCTTAGGATTGAACTTGACACAGTCACATCTGGTTCCCTCCACTCCATATTAGCCATCCGTAGCTCCTCAAGCACAGGGAAAGAAGGAATAAAATCCTCAATCTCATCACAAAAGATCAACGTCGAGTTAATATCAAGACTCTTAAGCATTGGCAAGAAGGAAGAGCAATTACTCCAACATTTGCGCCACCACCAATCAACACATCGTTCACTTCTTAGTTTCAGCTTAACTAGAGTGCTACTGAAGAATAGCTCTTTAGGCAGACGATAACCACCTTCTTTTTCTATATCCTCGTAGGAGAAATCAGTGAAAAGGTTAAGGTCTGAGACTCCACGTTTCAGGACGTTACATATCCAACGGTTCACAGTATCTGGATGGACGCCAGTGATACACTTGAGGGAGAAGTTGTTGATAGGAGAGTCACCCTACATGTTGGAATTGTGAAAGCCCATATCCAACTCTATCTTTTCTTATTAGTACGATATTGTCCACTTTGGCCTGATAGACAAGCCCGCATGGATTTACTTTTGGTTTTCTTCCCAAAAGGCCTCGTACTATTAGAGTTGGACTTCTCTTTATATATTAGATACTCATTGTCTAATTCTCCAATGTGGGACTTAGTTTGTTATCTTCACATTTATCTCGTGTCCCACAACTGATTTCCAAGATCTGCCACTGACCTCTCATTCCTAACTCATAGGATACCCACTCATCTCTCGAAGGGTATTTTGGTCTTCTTGCAGATTTCTCATCAACCGCTCTGATACCAATTGTTGGAATTGTGAAAGCCCATGTCCAACTCTATCCTTTTTTATTACTACGATATTGTCCACTTTGGGATTGATAGACAAGCCCGCATGGATTTAGTTTTGGTTTTCGTCCCAAAAGGCCTCGTACTATTAGAGTTGGACTTCTCTTTATATATTAGACACTCATTGTCTAATTCTCCAATGTGGGACTTAGTTTGTTATCTCACACTGCATAGCCAATACTCTGTCCACAAAACTAATAAAGCAACCTCGAATCTCTTGCCTTTTTCCTTTGCCATCTTGAGGATGGAGAAAGAGAGAGTCATCAATGTCGAGGTCAGGGACAAGTTTCCAGAGGTTGAGCCATCTCTTTGAAAGAACCGAAGTCAAAGCAGCGTTCTTTGTCGGTAAGAAAGATAAACAAAGAAGCTCGTCCGGTAGGTTGCTGATACGATCCATCACGAGAAGAAGCTAAAGGGGGTGTAACAGTCACCCTGCTTCAGTCATACAAATTCAACAATCTTGTCCCTAAAAGAGTAGACAAGAGACAATGGAAAACAAAAACATAGAAAACAAAAAGCTTTGCACATGAACAGAATAGCCCAAAACCTAAAGTAGAAGGAAGGAAGGATAAAGATAGAGAGAAAAGCCATGTACCCAGAGGAGAGTAGAAGGAAAAGTCTGAGGCTTTCACACGGCACATCCAAATTTAGGGGAAGACAAAGCAGAAACAAGAAGCAAGAAATTTCAGTGGCGGATGGAGGTAGAGTCGGTTCTGGTGTTCGGTCTTATGTTAACCGGTTCTTTTTGAAATACATCCGGTTTAATTTGGTAAACAAACCGGGACTGTTAAACTTTGGGATATAGACCAAGGTATGGAACTTGTGAGGGTCTTTCGTTCGAATATTAGTAACAGTGAGAATGAACTCTGATGTCCCCTCCAAGAAGTTTTCAACAGAGATTTATTATCTAGTTGTGAATGTCTGTTTTTTGTTAACCGGTTCTTTTTTTAAAATCCCCGGTTTAACTTTGTAAACAAACCGGGAATGCTAAAATTTGGGCAGCAAACAAAGGTGATAATCATAAAATAAGCCGAAGCAGAGATGCTTATTGGCCTAGTAAGAACACTCATTAACCGTTTTTATTTTTGTTACATTATAATAACGATTGGAAACTTGTTTATTGGATTTCTCAAGTCCAAATGAATTTAATTATTTTCCCAAAGATCGATGACACTTATCACTAAAACTACTAGTGGTTAATTAATGTAAAACGTAAAGGTAAAGCCAACCAACCAAATATCTTTCTTTTTCATAAACGTAAGTCGGCTACTCTCTTTATTACAAACAAATAAATTATACTAACCTTATTTATAATGGATATTTTTGTTATTTAAGAGCTAGTAAAATCTTTTGTTGTAAAAAGAAGAGCTAGTAATATCTGTAAATTAATATCTATACACAAATCTTATGATAAATTAATTTAAAAAATCAAAACAATTTTTCGATAAATTAGTATCTCATTAAATAAACAGAATATTATAAATCTTATTGTAATTTCAAATATAATTTACCATAGACTTTTTCCCGCCCAGGGGGAACACTTGTTTAAAAAAGTGAGGAAAATTGAAAAAGTCAAGAGTCAACTCCGGGGACGCTCCGACATCCTCGGTGACACGTCACACGTGCAAGTTTGTAAGAAAGATCTAAAGACAAGGAGTAAGACGTGCAGTGTCGTTGGATGGTTTTTGTATTATTACTTTTTTTTTGTGATTTTTGCAACCTCAAATTTACGTTTTTTTGTTTGTTTTGACTTCCCCCTCTCTCTCTCTCATTCTATTGGAGATTCACAATTGGTGATAATGATCTTCGCTTTTGGTTGGATTCTGTAATAAGATATTGGAAATTTAATATCAGCATTAATGATCATCCTGTAACAGTCGAGAGAGAATTTTAGTCGATGTTTTTATAGGAGGAATTTTCAGATTAATATCAGATCTGTCCTTCTGAGTTTAGAGAACTTGTGATCGGAGAATTCTGATGTATATGGTCTGAATGGTTAGGCCTAAAAGACTTTAGGACAAAGACAGAAGCTGAAAAGCAATCATGCTTACCTTGCTGACCGTGATCGCTGTGATCGTCGCCCTCTTTTGGGCTTTCTTCAAGTATGTGTGCTCTTTTTTCCTCTATGTTTCCATCATGTCTTGCCACTTTCTGATTTGAGTTTAGTTTAGTTTTTTGTTAATCTCAAACTGTGTTAGGGTAATTGATCGAGTAATTTAATCTAGTTGCTGAAGAATTTATATAATCTATTTGCTTGTTTGCTTAGTTAGAATTGGTAGAACAATCAGCTATTGAATCTTGTTATATTATTCGTTTGTTCCAATTAGATGAGTTTTTTTGACCTTTTTGGAACCTCACACACTACTCTATTAGGTCACTACCTTGGATTCTCCAGCAGTTCGCTGGAATAACATTCGACTTCAAGTTTGATGGATGGAACTGCTTGAAAGATGTTGTATTGCATTTCAAAAAGGTTTGTATTATGTTTTTTTTTTTCATTTTATAACTCAAAAGTCAAAATCAGTTCATCTTTATTTTGTAACAAAAATTTTTGTTTCTTTTTTTTTTTTGGTTATTATTTACAGGGTGCTATTGAGTCTATATCCGTTGGAGAATTTAAAGCAAACCTAAGTCAATCTCTAGTTGAACTTTGTGCAACGGCTTTTATCCAAGACCCTAAAGTAATATTCTCTATATGTGACCTCAAAGTTGTCACTAGACCACCCTCCAAATCCAGTAAAGGCCCTCGTAAACCCAAAACTCGCAAGTCTGGCTCTGGTGGTGGTGGCAAGGGGAAGAAGTTGATGCTACTCGCTAATATCGGTAGATTCTTTTCGGTTTCTTTGACAAATATCATTGTTCAGGTATAACTGCTTCATGCTCTATATAATTCCATGTCATTCTAATCTTTTGGAGCTAGTCTACGAATGAAACTGTTGGTTATACTAGTAACGTTATTGACTGTAAGCCAACATACAATAGTTTTTTTTTATTCTGTGCTTATATTGATGTTAAATCGTTGTAGACACCTAAAGCAAGAGCAGAGATCAAGGAGATTGAGCTTGATTTATCCAAGGACAGAGGATCAGCAAACTTTTTCATCAAACTGTACCTCTTGCCCATATCTGTACAGATTGGTGAACCAAATGTTATTCCCACTCATTCACCTGACATGAACAGTGACGTGTCCCTTGTTAAGCAAACATCAGAGGGCTCTTCTTCGCCTTCTATTCATTGTGAAAAAGTTTCCTTCTCCTGCGAATTTGGTCATAATAGGTAACTTTTTTTTTTTTTTGCTTTACATACTTCCTACATTTAGCACAAGTAATGAGACATGTTCTTGTACACCATGTATATGTATATTTTAGATATTCATGGTTGCTATTTTGTGATATTTTTGGAGCAGACAATCAAGTTCAAGTATAAAGAACGTCGAAGTAGATATATCTGATACTATTTTAAACCTAAATGACATGATGTTGACGAAAAGAAAAGCCCCAATAAGTGATACTTCCACTGGTGAAGTTATTGGATCAAGTTCTAGTCATACAGCTTCAGAAAAACCTCCAAAGCAACCACTGAATGTTTTGGTTGCAAAGCATGCTCCACAATTCCCTGAGAAAGTGAGTAAACTTTGAGAGAGGTGTTATTAGTGAATATAGTCAATTTTCCATTAGCCTAAAGTGCTTACACATGCCTTTGAATTTATGTGGTAGGTATCATTTGGTTTGTCAAATCTTGATATCAGATTTGTGCATCAAGAACATGATTTTTATATCGCGAATAGCGTTAAAGGGCTTCAGTTGAAAAGTACCAAATCTCAATCAAGTGGAAAGGGAAAGGAAGAACCATGTCTTGATATTGTCATGGAGCTGAGGGAGATGCATGTATGTCATATAAGAAGTTTTCATTATTTTTTTTTGTATGTAACATATCCTAATGCTGTCTTTAAATCTCATATCCACTTCAGCTTATTAGAGAATCTGAAGTTTCTGTCTTGGAGATGTCAAAACTTAAAGTTTCCTCCAAGGTGTACTGTCCAGTGCAAGTGAGTCCTCTGAATTATAGAATATTTTTGTATCCTCCCTTTAATGATTATGATGTATTCACCTGATCTTGGTGTTACTCTTAGGAATCTTCCCCTGTTAAAGCTGAGGTTGAGATTAAGCTGGGAGGTATAATGTGCAACGTTATAATGGCAAGATTCGAGCCGTTGTTGCGTTTGCACTTCTCTAAAAAGAAGAAGATAGTTCTCAAAGAAGAGAAACCTACCATTGCAAAACCAGAATCTAGTGGTGTTAAGGCTGTTGTATGGAAGTGTGTCACTTCAATCCCTGATGTGAAGATTGTGATTTATAATCCTGAAAGCTCTCCCATCTACCAAGTAAGTATATAAGCATTGACAAGGTTTAGAAAGAATCTCTCAGTCTTCAAAAAATGATTTGTAATTAATTACATGTGTGTTTTGTTGCAGCTCTCCTCAGATTCATTATTGGTCACTGCAAGTAATATGTCAAGTAGAGGAACATGTGTGCAAATGGATCTTAATGAACTGAGTCTATGCATGGTAGATGAACAAGGAGTGTGTCTGAAAGAAAGTCTCTTTGGTTTAGAGTCATCTTCAGGTTCATTAATCAATATAAGAAAAGTCAGACTAGAAAGTGGCAAGAAAGAGGAGGCTGATGCTTCCAAAGGTAAACAGACAATGATGGTCAATGTGTCTGAAATCTCTCTGTTGTTTTCTTACAAGAGCATTGAAACGCTTGTCGTAAACGCAATGTCGATTCAAGCTTTCATCAAACGTTTAACCGGTGCTAAGAACACGCAAGACAAAAGTGCAGCACATAAACCAAAGAAGCCATCATCTGGAAAAGGAACTCAACTCATGAAACTCAATGTTGAACGTTTCTCATTGAACTTCTCTGGAGATTCAAACATGGACAGTACAGTCATTGAAGATCCTAAACGTGTCAACTACGGATCTCAAGGTGGGAGAGTTGTGATCAGCGTTTCAGCTGATGGAACGCCAAGAACTGCTACCGTTAGCTCTACTTTGTCAAAGGAACATGAGAAGTTAAAGTACTTAATATCATTTGAGTTACTCAAGTTCGGTTTTACACTAAACAAAGAGATTCAGTCTACACAGGTCGAACTCGAGAACGCGAAGTCAGTCTACCAGGAGTTCTTGGAGGAGCCTCATCCAGTTTCAAGAGTCACACTCTGTGACATACAAAACGCTAAGTTTGTGCGTCGTAACGGCGGTGTTAAAGAAGTTGCAATATGTTCTCTCTTTAGTGCTGCTAATATTGTGGTTAGATGGGAGCCTGATTTGCACATATCAATGGTTGAGCTTGGTCTGCGTTTGAAGTCTCTCGTCTTAACTCAGAAACTTAAGCAACAAGGCACCAAAGAAGAACCAACTACTACTACTACTACAAGTTCGAGTTCTGTTGATAAGCCAAAGAAGAAGGAAGCTATATTTGCTGTTGACATAGAGATGCTACACATATCTGCTGAGGCAGGGGATGGTGTTGACGCTGAGGTGCAGATTCAGTCCATCTTCTCTGAGAATGTGCGTATTGGTGTGCTCTTGGAAGGGCTTATGCTAGGTTTCTGTGGATGTAGGATATTCAAAAGTAGTAGGGTGCAGATATCACGGATACCTTCAAACGTTACAGGAGCTCCATGGGATTGGGTGGTTCAAGGACTTGACATGCGTATATGTATGCCCTTCAGGCTACAGCTCCGTGCTATTGATGATGCTGTTGAAGAGATGCTTAGGGCTTTGAAGCTTGTGACCAACGCAAAGAAAACACTCATGTTTCCTGTCAAAAAGGAAAGCTCCACCACAACATCAAGCAAGAAACCTGGTTCGAAGAAGTTTGGTCGTGTGAGATTTGGGATCAGGAAGTTGGGATTTGAGATTGAGGAAGAGCCGCTTCAAGGTTGGCTTGATGAGCATTATCATTTAATGAGGAAAGAAGCTTGTGAGTTAGCCGTGAGGTGCAAGTTTCTTGATGAATTGATTGCTAGTGGGAACCAGGTTGCTAAAGCTGAGGGAGATGAGTCATCAGAGACTGGTAATGAGAAGAAGATTTGTTTTGAAGGAGAAGAAGTAGACTTGCAAGATCCTGTGGTTGTGAGTAGGTTGAAAGAAAAGTTATATAAGCAATCGTTTGAGTCATATTACAAGTCTTGTCAGAGCTTGAAAGCTGCAGAGGGTTCAGGTGCTTGTAAAGAAGGGTTTCAAGCTGGTTTTAAGATGAGTACTTCAAGGAAATCTCTTCTCTCTGTCTCTGTTACTGATTTGGATTTAAGTTTAACTGCTATTAATGGTGGTGATGATGGGATGATTGAAATTGTTAGGAATCTTGATCCTATAAGTCAAGAAAAGGACATACCGTTTTCAAGGCTTTATGGAAGCAATCTTGTGTTGAAAGCTGGAACTCTTGTTGTTCAGATAAGAGACTATACATTTCCACTTCTCTCAACAGCTTTGGGTAAATGTGAAGGCCGTCTTGTGCTGGCTCAGCAGGCAACAGCTTTTCAGCCTCAAGTACTCCATGAAGTGTTCATAGGAAGATGGAGAAAGGTGCTGATGCTTCGTTCAGCTGGTGGAACAACACCTGGAATGAAAACATACTTGGATTTACCGTTACATTTCGAGAAAGGAGAGGTCTCTTTTGGAGTTGGATATGAGCCAGTGCTTACTGATCTAAGCTATTCCTTCACTGTGGCTCTCCGTAGAGCTAATCTGAGTCTCAAGGGTCCTGGCCTTATCATGCCTCCCAAAAAGGAGAAGAGTTTACCATGGTGGGATGAGATGAGAAACTACATCCATGGAAACACAACCTTGTCATTTTCAAAGACAAAGTGGGCTATTCTTGCTTCTCCTGACCCTTATGAGAAGCATGACAAGCTTGAGATGACCTCTGCAGCCGTGGAGATCCAGCAATCAGATGGACGTATACACTTCTCTGCTGAAGAAATGAAAATTTACATGACTAGTTTCGAAAGTTTAGCTAGACATTACCCTAACGCACCGCCTTGTCCAGCAAGTTACCCTTTCCTCGAGGCTCCACGGTTCAGTCTTGAAGTCAGGATGGACTGGGAATGCGAGTCTGGAAGTCCAATGAATCATTATCTCTATGCATTACCTGTTGAAGGCAAGGCTCGTGAGTTTATCTATGATCCTTTTAGGTCTACTTCACTCTCTCTACGCTTTGACTTCACTTTAAGACCTGAGAGACATAACTTGTCTAAGAAGTCATCTATTCCCCCACCTACGTTGAACGTTGGTGCTCATGATATGGCGTGGCTGATAAGATTCTGGAACATGAACTATCTCCCTCCTCTCAAGATCCGGACATTCTCTAGATGGCCACGTTTTGGTGTTCCAAGAATCCCAAGATCAGGGAACTTGTCTATGGACAGAGTGATGACAGAGTTTATGCTCCGTGCAGATGTTTCACCAATATGTATAAATCACAAGACACTTGATCCTGAAAACCCTGCAAGAGGCTTGACCTTTAACATGTCCAAGTTTAAATATGAAATGTGCTTGAGCCGTGGCAACCAAGTTTTCACTTTTGATTGCGTGCGTCAGACTCTTGACCCTGTTTACCAAGGAGTAGACCTACATGTACCTAAGGCCTTTATCAAAAAGGATCATGAGGCAGTTAAGATGACAAGGACAAGCTCACAATCTGGATCAAGTGGTAAAGCTAGTGATGGCCCTGAGAAGCATCCTGATGAAGGGTTTCTATTTTCGTCAGACTACTTTACTATAAGGAGGCAAGCTCCTAAGGCTGACCCTGAGAGAATGATGGTGTGGAAAGAGGAAGGGAAGGTATACCGTGAGAAAGTTGATGCTAAACCTACTAATGATAAAGATAGTGATAGTGATCAGGAGAATTCACATTCTGATCCGAGTGATGATGATGGGTTTAATGTTGTGATAGCAGACAACTGTCAACGTATCTTTGTTTATGGTCTGAAACTATTGATGAACATAGAGAACAGAGATGCTGTTTTGGCTTTTGTTGGTGGGATGTCCAAAGCATTTCAACCTCCTAAGCCTTCACCTTCACGTCAGTATGCACAGAGAAAGTTACTTGAGGGTAATCAGAAGAGCTCTGAGGTAGAAGTTCCTCAAGATGAAACTCCCACTTCCCAAACTAAGGAGCCTGTGGAAGTTGTTTCGTCTCCTTCAAAAGAACCAATCAAAACAGAGAACTTTGCATCTTTCCCACTTGGTAAATCTTAGTTAGTAACTCTTCTCTCTTAAGCAAAAATCTTATGCTTCAGTTAGTGACTCTTCCCTCTTAAGCAGAAATCTTATGCTTCATATGATCATGTTAATTTTGTCTTGGTGCAGAAGCTACAAGTGGTTCAGAGGAAGAAGGAACTCGCCATTTTATGGTGAATGTTATTGAGCCACAGTTCAATCTCCATTCAGAAGATGTGAATGTAAGTATATAGAGACCAAACTTTAGAGCCTTGACAACATTACTGATTTTTTAAAACGTTTGTATAATATAGTAAAATATGACCACAACTAAGATGATTGTGCATGTAAACAGGGTAGGTTTTTGCTGGCTGCTGCTAGTGGTCGTGTGTTGGCACGATCATTTCACTCGGTTGTTCATCTTGGGTATGAAATGATTGAGAAGGCGGTTCAAAATGAGAATGAACCTGAGAATAAAACACCTGAAAATGATGGCACTGACATGACATGGACACGTCATGAAGTGTCCATGATGTTGGAGCATGTACAAGCTCATGTGGCACCTACAGATGTTGATCCAGGAGCTGGAGTTCAATGGCTACCAAAGATTAGAAAAAGCTCTCCCAAGGCAAAGCGCACTGGCGCACTGTTAGAAAGAGTTTTCATGCCTTGTGACATGTACTTTCAGTACACTAGACACAAAGGTGTTAGTCCTGACCTAAAGGTAAAACCTATCTGCAATATATGTATATTTTTAATTAGTAACATTGTTTGAATAAGAGACTTATATATAACCATTATTATATGATACAGGTGAAGCCACTGAAAGAGCTTACTTTCAACTCACGTAATATTACAGCATCAATGACATCACGTCAGTTTCAAGTTATGTTGGATGTTTTGTCCAATCTTTTGTTTGCAAGGTTACCAAAGTAAGTGTAGGCTAAGTTATTAACATCTCTTTTTCTGGTTTTAATGTATCTCCTTTTGACTATGTTTTATTACTTATACATTCAGGCCTCAGAATGATAGTTTGAAACTTTCTGGTGAAGAAGAAGATGAAGTTGAAGAGGAAATCGATGAGGTGGTTCCTGATGGAGTTGAGGAAGTAGAACTTGCGAAAATCGAACTTGAACATAAAGAGAGGGACAAGATGTTGCTTCTTGGTGATATAAGGAAGTTGACGCAGAATGAAAGTAACTCAGGAAAGATAAATCTTGAAAAGGAAAGTGATTTCTTGTGGATGATCACTTGTGGGAAGCCAATACTGGTAAGGAAAAAGTAAATAACTTCATTTCTGGCACTGAAAGTTAACTGGTAAAACTAAGTTACTGATATGTATAGGTGGAGAGACTTAGGAACACGTATGTAGATGTGAGACAGTGTAGGAAGGCAGCGTATACAGCACTACGTGTATCAGTGAAGAATGCTGCAGAGATAAGGTTGCTGGAGAAAGACAAGAACAAAAGACCATCCTCTGCTATGCGCATTTCTTTGCAGATAAGCAAAGTTGTTTGGTCTATGGTTTTAGATGGCAAAACATTCTCTGAGGTTGAAATAGACAATATGGTAAGTCCATGTCTCTCAGTTCAATCTATTTTTGGAAAGAAAGTATCTAAAGATGATGTCTCACATTGGTTGCAGATTTATGATTTTAACCGGGACTTGAGAGATATAGGGATTGCACAGTTCACAACAAGATACTTTGTCCTGAGAAACTGTTTGCCTAATGCAAAGTGTGATACTGTTCTTTCTGCATGGAACCCTCCTCCAGAATGGGGCCAGTGAGTTCCTTTACACATCTTTAGGGACTTAATAGATAAATCATAATGTTGTTAATGGTCACACAACTACTATATGCAGGAAAGTGATGCTACAGGTAGATGCAAGACAAGGACTCCCAAAAGATGGACAAGCTTTTTATGAACTATTCAAGGCAAGTCCTTCTTTATCTTACAAGAGGAAAGAAGTTTTAAAGGTTATTGCAAGGGGGAATGAAGTTTTTTTATCTTGTGTGTGTTTGGTTGACAGGTGGAAATATATCCTCTAAAAATCCATTTGACAGAAGCAATGTACACAATGATGTGGGAGTATATCTTCCCAGGAGAGGAGCAACATTCCCATAGAAGAGAGGTTTTGTTTAGCTAATGAGATGCTTTTTGCAGTTATGTTTATGACTCAACAACTCACGCTTGGGTTTTTTTTGTATGCTCCCAGGAAGTCTGGAAGGTGTCAACAACGGCAGGTTCAAGGAGAGTCAGGAAAGGTTCGTTTGCTCAAGAAGCAGCAGCGTTGCTCTCTACAGCTGATCTAGGCCAGGTCAAGCTTTTCTTCTCTTACATTTATTAGTAGGGTCCGGTCCATCTCTTAATGTGTATTTTCTTGAAATGTTTTTCAGAGTTCAAAGAATCAAAAGTCAAGATCGATCCGTAGCTCAGGGTCAGAACTGAGAAGAACATCTTCTTTCGACAGAACATGGGAGGAAACTGTAGCTGAATCTGTAGCTAATGAGCTTGTTCTACAGTCCATGGAACATCAGGGTGAATCTTCAAAAAACAAGCTCAAGGATTCAAAAACTTCCAAGGCTGGTCGCTCGGTTCATGAAGAGAAGAAGACGTTGGAAGACAAGAAAGCGAGGCCTCAGAAGATAATGCAGTTTCAAACCATCAAGATTAGTCAGGTATATGTCGCTTCATATAAAACATTTTAATCAAGTGTTATAATGAAGTTAAATCTTTGTAATTATTGGTTTTGAGATAGGTGGAGTTGTTGATCACTTATGAGGGTTCAAGATTTGTTGTGAACGATATGAAGCTGTTGATGGACACTTTCCATAGGGACGAGTTCAGTGGAACATGGAGGAGACTATTCTCTCGTGTTAAGAAGCATATCATTTGGGGTGTCCTCAAGTCAGTAACCGGAATGCAAGTAAGACCATTTTTATACACCCAACCATCAATAACATAAAATGCATGTGTTGATGTGTCACTGAGTCATTTTTGATGCACCTCTTAAATTACTAAACTCTAACACAATAAATCAAGCACTAAATCCAAATGTTATGATAGTATTTTTGAAAAGTGATAGACAAGTTAGGGTATTTTTAAGTAATTTCTAAGTATATATTGTAGATGAAGAAGTTCAAAGACAAGACAACACATGTTCCAAAAGAGGAGATTGGGTTGAGAGACAAAGACGAGTCAGGGAAGTCAGATCAAGATCCAGGGGCATTGGCAAAGCGTCCTGGTGACAACGCTGGTGATGGGTTTGTCACATCTATTAGAGGTATCTTCAATACTCAAAGGCGAAAGGCGAAGAAGTTTGTGCTTAGAACAATGAGAGGAGAAGAAGAAGAAAGCTTCCCAGGGGAGTGGAGTGACAATGAATCAGACTTCTCTCCTTTTGCTAGACAATTGACTATTACTAAAGCTAAGAAACTCATCAGGCGTCACTCTAAGAAGTTCCAAAACCAAACCACTACTAAAGGTAACTTGCTTCTTCTTCTTTTTTTTATGATATTTAATAAAATCATATGTTATATGACTTTCTCTGTTGTTTTTCAGGTTCTCAGAAGCTTCAGCTCTCGCCTACTCTGTCTCCTAAGGAAGAAGAACGATATGAAAGTGACTCTTCTAGTGGATCTTCTGCTTATGAAGAGTTCCTTGACCAGAATCCGATATTAACAACATAGAATTCAAAATTTTGTTTTTTTCCCCAGAAGAATTCAGATTTGAGTTTTTTTTTTTTATAAATAAATTTGTATAGAGTTGCAGATTATTTATCTCATCTATCACTGTTACACTCTTAAAAGACTTAGATTTCATCCACTATACTCGAGTACTAGTGTTGGTAATGATGTATGTATTGGTTCACATAAAGCATAGACAAAATCATCATATCAAGTGCTGATGATACTGAAGCTCATGAATCTTGATATAGCCATGAGTTTAATCATGTGACTGAAGTTCATGAAGTTCAATTGAATCTTGATATCAATTGCTGATGAGATCGAAAGATTGAAGACTAATTCTATAAAAGCAGACATGAGCACTCTTTGCCAGTTAAATCTTTTGGTTAACACATCTATCAATTTTATGTTTTCTAATAAACTTCTATAAATTTAACCAATGTGTGACTTCTTTATAAAACATATCTAAACTAATAAACAGTGTACGACACGTTACCATCTATATGTGATCACACACACATACTTCGTTTGCAGATGTATTAATATTTCGTATGAAAATATGTTTTATCATATTATAATGGGAAAAAAAATAAAATTAAGCAGGATTTTTCTATCACTTATAAAAAGAAAACTTGCAATCTAAGGTTGGTCAACAAATATAAAGTGCTAATGTCATAGTGGCTTCTAGTGAAAAAGTCTTACTTGTGCAATAAGTTTGTTTTAGAAGTTGCACCAACAATTAAATTCTTCAAACCTCTCATCACCTAATTCCCATCAAACCTCAAACCCTAATTAACTTCTCAATCTCCTTTATAACCAGTCCCATCTTCACTCACAATCAAACTCAAAACACACACACAAACTCTTCTCTCTCTCTAGTAACAACTCAAAACAAAAATGGTCTCCTGGTTATCATCCCTTGTCATTGCAGTGACATTCACAAGCTTATTCACAGGTCTATCTGCCCGTCGCCATCTTCTCCAATCAACACCAGCGACTCAGCCACCAGTTACAACAACATTCCCACCTCTTCCTAAACCCACAATAATGCCACCACCAATGCCTTCTTCGCTTCCTCAGCCAACTCTTCCTCAACCCACAGCGTTTCCACCATTGCCGAGCACACAAATACCTTCATTGCCTAACCCAACACAACCCATTAATATCCCAAACTTTCCACAAATCAATATTCCTAATTTCCCATTTAACATTCCAAGCAACTTCCCCTTTAATATTCCCACCAGCATTCCTACCATCCCTTTCTTCACTCCACCACCTTCCAAGTGAGAAGCTAAGCTCTTTAGCTTCTGCCACACAACACGTTACCGTCTTTCTCTCACACACTTTGTTTGCACATGCTTGAAAAGTTTCTTATTCATTTTCTGTTGTTTGATGATGTTCTCCTTGTTATTGGTGTTGTTGTGTGTTTCTGGCTTGATTTAGTTGCTTTTGTAATATCTCTATTCAGCTTATTAATTATTGTTCTAATGAATTATTGCTTTCTTCTTCTTCTTGTGTTTGTTTTGCTTAATCTCTATTACCAAACAATAATAGACGTTACCATAAAGGTAATAAACAAGTCATATTCAATGAGACATTCTCCAAAAAGAGGAGAAGTGCTTGTTGCTTCTAAAAATTTGTGTAAATTAGTAACTTGTTAGCAAATTACAAAGGGAAATGACAATGTATCATTGATACAGTTTTTCTCATAAGTTGTTAATTAATCGTGTAATAGCATCATCTAAGCTATCCATCTTCAAGGAAATCATATTTACCAATATAGTTTCTCTTTTTTCTTTTTGATCAAACTACAATATAGTTTCTCTTGGATGAAACAATTTCAAGGAAACATCTCATGTGTTTCCTTCGATATGCATCGGCCTAGAAATAAGCCCAATATAAATGATGATATATAGGCCCACTAGAGTATCTCGTTAGACCCGTTTGTTTTGACTTATTTTTGCTCCCGCGGAGAAATGACTTTCTTGTTAGTGGGAAAATTGAATGAGTCAACAGTCAACTCTCGGCCGCTCCTACATCCTCGGAGACACGTGTGAGGTTTGTAATAAAGACTTTATTAAAATGGCTTTTACTCGGCGGAAGAGGTCTACAAGTCATTAGTCAACTATTTTAGACTATTTTTGGCCCAAATATCCTCCTCGAGCCACTAACCTTAATACTGCAACTCTGATTTATTTATTTATTTATACATGTGACTCTGATTTAACTGTGACAACTAGTTATAAAATGATCATAATTATTTTATAAAGCTAGCTTTGAGTTTGTACAACTGATTTCTTAAAGGTTTCAACAATGATTATGACTTGTTAAGCAAAAAATAAAAACAAGGATTAGGACTTGGCAAGATGCATAAAATATCGGTTTCAATCTGTTATCGTAATTTTACAAACATAAATAATAGGAAAAATGCAACGTAACGTGTGACCATGTTCAACTCTATGCAATGCAAGCAGTTTACAAACAAACAGAATATTTGCACCTTGCAACTATCCTCAACTCTATAGTTTAATTTGCAACTATCTTCGAGTTATTTTACATGACATGAGATATTTTAAACCAGGACCCGATTAATCTTTATGGGTAAATATAATGGAATATTTTATTTATTTTGGATTTTCTAGTAAATCTGAAATATGACACTAGTTTGGACTAGTTAAACCGAAAGAAAAGATTTTTTTTTGTTTTGCTTAAATAGAAATATAAGAGTTATGAATAATGTTTTAAAATCTGACTTAGAATGAACATTTTTTTAGATCACTGGATAACCGATTCGAACGTTATATTGCTGTCTATAAAGTTGATAAACAAGTCGGTGTCGTGGCTATCACCTACAGAGGATGATAGCCTGCATCAACTATGTTCTTGCTCCGGTGGAGGACGCGGCTGCTGATCGTCGCCTATGGCGTCATGGGGATGAGGATTACAAAACAAACTTCTCAAGCAAAGCAACATGGGAACAATTGAGGGCGCATAGCCCAAACCTTCCGTGGTGCAAATTGGTTTGGTTTCAATAAGGTATCTCACAGTTTGCTTTTATCACGTGGTTGGTTTTCCAAGATTGGCTCTCGACGGGGGCGAGAAGCAGAGCTTGGGGTTGCGTGCAGCCGTGCCTCCTCTGCGGGGAACCGGATGAAACTCGTGACCATCTATTCTTCGCGTGCCATCACTTTTTTACAGTATGGATCGACCTAGCAGCTTTCCTCTTGGGCTCTTGTGTGAATCCCGACTGGACTATCATGGTCACATCTCTCTTATCTTCTCGCCGGAGGGAGGTTGATACATGCCTTCTGAAGCTTGCCTTCCAAACTTGCATCCACAGCATTTGGCGTGAGCAGAACATCATGGGTCATCAGGGCACTCCTCTCACCACGAGTCAACTGATTCGATACATTGATAAGATAATTCGTAACATGATATCCTCTCTGTGAAAACGGAGGCCAAGCTTCTACAGTGACATGATGCAGCAATGGCTTACTCGGGCCTCTCCGCTGCAACCATAATATGTTGTTTTCCTCAATATGATTTGTGTTTCATTTTCTGAAAGTATAAACCTCAGTGGCCTGAAATTTTTTCTTTTTGTTGATAATCAATTTAAAATTTCAAAAAAAAAAGTTGATAAGCAAATAACTTTTTAAGTATTTATTTTAAAGAAATCTTTAAAATATGATGGTTAACAATAATCACAAAGCTGTTGAAAATTCTACATCCAATTTTCATGAGATGGTATTAATGTTGGTGCGTGAGAGGCTGGTAAGTCGGGTTTGGTTTGGTCCGAAATCATTGGCATATAGTAAAACCTGATAATTTTGAATATTAATTTGCATGTGTTATATATATATATATATATTAAGTACTTGATTTTCATATTAGATGAAAGGAAAAATGTACACTTATCCCTCAGGATTATAGCACTGAAATCAGACCAGATCAACATGATCGGCATCAACAAAAATCAAAAGAATGAGCCCTAAACTACTGGAAATATGAGATCCATGTAGAAAGGTATGTAACCGTAGATGGGAGGTTTCTTTGTTCTCGTGAGAGAGAGTCCAGTTTTGCTCTGATCGTTTGTTAAATGTCTGAGATTATAGCAGATGGAGGTCTGGTTGTCCCATTGTGGAATCTCCTCTCTCTCCAAATGGTGTAGAGGCAGGCTTGATAAACCAGCTTCATGACGAGTCGTAGGTTCCTATCTGTACGTAGTATAGTCCTTGATCCATCTAACACTGTCCATAAACCGGGGAGGAGGCGTTAGATGGGCTCTGCTTGTGTAATAAGACACATTTCTGAGGAGTAGGGGCTGTCAAATTAGAGATTTGACGAGATTCAGCAGAAGAACGACAGAGAAGGCAATCCGGCACCACCGATACGTCCAGGCGTTCTGTATATAAGACATGATTAGATAAAGGAAGGTGGAATATATTTTCATGAGATGTATTAAGAGCCATCAATGGTCTAGTGAGAGGTAGGTAAGTCTCTGAGGCTGTAGGAAGATCCTTTGATTTTAAAATATCTTTTTATCACGTTGGAATTGGATGGCTCTTAGACCTCTAACATTACAACTTTACCGTATGGTTTCTGGTACCATATTCGATATCATATTTTAGATTTTTTTTTTAAATTTAAATGAACAATGCGTGCTGTCTAATAAATAAATAATATATACTGCAGATTTTATAATGTTTTTTACTTAGAGAACAGGTATAAATAAAATATACAACTACGTAAAGAATTGTTAGGTGACATAACCTTTTTTAATTAATTAACATTTTTGAAGTTTGAACTGTTAGTTAGAATTACTGGTCTTAAACTATTATCTGATCAAATTTACGACTGAATAAAATAATAGTAGGAACATCTAGCTAGACACAAATAAATAACCGGAAAATACTTTTAATTATTTGCTTATAAATATAGTAGTTTTACCATATTTTAAATACTTTTACTATACCTTTTAATATTTAATAGTAAAACTACTGTTTTTTTACCAAAAAAATATAGTACTTTTTACTATTAAATATTTTAAAAATTGAATAACCTGCTAACCTGTTTTAAATACTTTCACAGGATTCAAATTGTTAAAGTAGTTAAAATG